TGTGTTCTCTCCCCTAACGTTTTAATACAATTTTGGGTTTTTCTCTCCCCCTAGTACGTAGGTACACAATGTTTGTTTTTCCCCCCTAGTACTTAGGTACTACAATTGTGTTCTCCCCCCTATACGTGTGACTACAATTTTGTGTTCTCCCCCCCCCTAACTGTTGACTACAAGTTGTGTTCTCTCCCCCTATACGGGTTTTACTACAATGTTTTTCTCTCCCCCTAGTACTGTGGATACTACAATGTTGTTTTCTCCTCCCCCTAGAAACTGAGGTACTAAAATGTTTTTTCTCTCCCCCTGTACTGTAGGTACTCAGTTGTGTTCTCTCCCCCTATATGTTGTACTACAATGTTGTGTTCTCCCCCTAGACTTGTGACTAAATGTTGTTTTTCTCTCCCCCTATACGGGGATACTAAAATGTTTTTTTCCCCCCCTAGTACTGGGAACACAATGTTTGTTCTCTCCCCCTATAGTGTGTACTACAATGTTTGTTCTCCCCCCCCTGTTGTGTGTACAAAATGTTGTGTTTCTCCCCCAGTACTTTGTGTACTACAATGTTGTGTTCCCCCCCCCTATACTGTGTGTACTACAATTTTTGTGTTCTCTCCCCCTAGACGTGTGTACACAATTTGTGTTCTCCCCCCCCTAGTACGTGGTACTACAATTTTTGTGTTCTCCCCCCTATATGTGTGTACAAAATGTTTGGTTTCTCCCCCAGACTGTGGAACTCAATGTTTGTTCTCCCCCCCCTATACTGTGGATACTAAAATGTTGTGTTCTCCCCCTATACTGTGTGTACACAATGTTGTGTTCTCCCCCCCCTGTACTGTGTGTACTAAAATGTTTTTTTTCTCCCCCTAGTACTGTGGATACTACAATTTTTTGGTTCACCCCCCCTAGTACGTGTGAAATACAATGTTGTTTTTCCTCCCCCAGAAAACTGTGTGTACTAAAAAATGTTTGTTCTCCCCCCTATACTGGGGATACTACAATGTTGTGTTTCTCCCCCAGTACTGTGGTACTACAATGTTTGTTCTCCCCCCCCTAGAAACGTTGCTACTGTTGTGTTCTCCCCCCCTAGTACTGTGTTACACAATTTTTTTTCTCTCCCCCTATACGTAGTACACAATTTTTGGTTCTCTCTCCCCCCCTAGTACTGTGGTACTACAAGGTTTTCTCTCCCCCTAGACGGGTTTGTACTACAATGTTGTGTTCTCTCCCCCTAACTGTGTGTACTACAATGTTTTTTTCTCTCCCCCTAACGTGGTACACAATGTTGTGTTCTCTCCCCCTAGTACTGTGTGTACTACAATGTTGTTTTTTCCTCCCCCTAGTATGTGTTACAAAATGTTGTGTTCTCTCCCCCAGAACTGGTGTACTACAATTTGTTTTCTCCCCCCCCAGTACGTGTGTACTACAATTGTTTCTCTCCCCCCTAGTACTGTAGGACTACAATTTTGTTTTCTCTCCCCCTATACTTTGGGGCTACAATGTTTTTTCCTCCCCCTAGTACTATATTGCTTTGATTTCAGTCTTGACAAAACTTGACAGCAAGATATTCTGGACACTTTTTATGAAAATTTTTATAAACTTGATTTAACTTCATTTGTTTTACTCGTCTTCAACATTTCATGTCCAATTAATAATAATAATAAATCTTTATTTCTACAATACATGTACAAGGTATACAGACCATAGCTAACTCACGACATACTACCACTCTGATAAAAAGCTGCTTGTTATCTGAGCATTTCCTGCAAATTGGGTCAGTTTTGTCCCAGAGTGACCCACACCACCACAAACACCCAGGATGTGACCCACACCATCCACAAACACCCAGGATGTGACCCACACCAGTCCACTAACACCCGGATTGACCCCACCCCATCCACAACACCCAGGATTGACCCAAAACCAGTCCACTAACACCCAGTCCCCCATTTACGATGATGAACAGACAACACGCAAAAAATACATTCCATCTTCTCCCCCTGGCGGGGAAAATCGACCCAAACCCTCGCTTTAAGTGAGACTTTAGCCCCCAGGCCACAAAGCCCCCTTTGTTGTAATTCACCTGGCCTACTTTCCTTGGCCCGGGCCCTACATTTTCTTTTGGACCCACCATATTTTCCTTTTGGGACCCAGGCCTAAAAGTTCTCTTGACCCTGGCCTACATTTCCCTTTTGGGACCCGGGCCCTATATATTCTCTTGGACCCAGGCCTATATTTTCTCTTGGACCCGGGCCTTATGTTCTCTTGGCCCCGGGCCTATATTTTCTCTGGACCCGGGCCTATATTTTCTCTGGCCCAGGCCATATGTTTCCTTGGACCCGGGCCTATATGTTCTTTTGGGACCCAGCCTAATGTTCTCTTGACCCGGCCTATATTTCTCGGGGCCCCGGGTCCATTTTTTTTCTGGGTGATTTTTAGTCTATGTTAAATTTTTTTGTACAAGGCAGATACCATGAAGACAAGTATATTTCAGAGCTGATATGTGTCCGTGAGTCTCATAAGTAGACACTGGCTGTTTTACTACCATTAATAAAAAATTAGTTTATTTCTACAGTACAGATACAACTTACAGACCATAGCTGAAACAATGACATACTATGCATGCATTTCGGCAATTTGGGGTTTAATTTTTGCCCCAGGTCCCACCCACACCAGTCAACTAACCCCAGGTACCTCTTACTGCTAGGTGAACAGTGCACGGGTGTCTTAAGGAAACACATTTTAATTTTTTCCACCCGAAACCAGGATAAATTTCATCACCTCGGCCTACAGAAACAGCGGTGCCTCAGGGAGATGTTCATAACCCTCTGCTGTTCCTCATATACATCATTGACCTTCACAGTGCATCTCAATTACTTAATCTTCTTCTGTTAGCAGACAACACAGCATTTCTTATCTCCCACTCAAATCTGAATTCTCTCAATAACATTGTTAATGAGGCGACCATAAAGATAACTGGGATGGCTACTAATAAACTCACTCTTAACATTGATAAGACTTTCGACATGATGTTTGGAAACAGAGCTACAAATGTTTATCTAAATATAATGATTAACGGCTTTCCCATTGTAACTTGACAGTACATAACTTGAAGTTTAGTACCTACATCCAGCACATAACTAAGGTGTCCCAAGCAGTAGGCATCCTCTCTAAGATATGATACTGTGTCCCACAAACAGCACTACTTACCTTGTAGTACTCTCTCATCTATCCCTACCTCACCTAGGCTATGTCACTACAGCACATCACCTTAAGGCTAGGGTCACACAGTGGTGCTACAGGGAATGTTGCTGGAGCAGAAAATAGCCAGAGATGGAGAGGATAACAGAGGCTGAGTTAGAATGGAATGTATGGAGTGCTAAAGGAAAGACAGGACAGTCAGATAGTGTGACAATGGAATACAGTGGACCCCCGCATAACGATTACCTCCGAATGCGACCAATTATGTAAGTGTATTTATGTAAGTGCGTTTGTATGTGTATGTTTGGGGTCTGAAATGGACTAATCTACTTCACAATATTTCTTATGGGAACAAATTTGGTCAGTACTGGCACCTGAACATACTTCTGGAGTGAAAAAATATCGTTAACCGGGGTCCACTGTACTTCTATATGAAACTGGGAGGTCATTATTACAACCTAGGATTTCAAATGGCCTGTTATCCCAGGTGTAATGGGAGCAAATAAACACAGTAGAAAAAGTTTAGACTTATATTATCCTTCACCAATTTAGAACAGCAATATGTACACTATGTACAGTGATAAATATAGTGCACTCCACGGTAAGCAAGGCAGAAATAGAAGCCACAAGATAGCAGACCGTGCTTCAACCAGCTCTAGAATGGGAATGACAAGGGCAGACAGGAGAGCGGTATCCACATAACCTCTGCGATTGCCAATCCCACCTTCTTATTGGCTAGAACCTGGTCACTAGTTGAACGATGGGGCCCCATCATCAACTCTTAGCAACCAGGTTCGCTGGTTGGGGGAGATAACCTGTAAATGAGGGTGTGTCCATGCGCCGAATAAAGGTTACGTACTCTTTGCATGCCACACCCCCACCCCCGAGAAGGCTCAGGATTAGGCTGCCACCTCCCAGTGGTAACCGTGCCGCCATGGCACAAAATAATGGGACCGCCTATCCTCTCCACCATCCAACTCTTAGATAGAGCTCAGCTTTCCTAGTGACCAAAAGCCAAACCCTAAACTCAGAGTGAGACAGCAGTCAGATAGGCCAACATAGGTCCAAGATACAAGCGGACGGTAGCCCGTATCCCCTCACTAAAAAAAACCCCCACATCAGGGGATAAAAAAAAGAGCTTGAAAGGGGGGTTACCACAAATACATCCTAACCTAAATAAAATATTAAACTAGACTCTTGACAAAGAGTCTGCCAACACATTTTCTTTGCCGGCAATATAATTAATTTTTATATTGTAGGGCTGCAGCCTGAGCGTCCAACGCATAAGCCTTGTGTTGTGATTCTTCATGGCTTGGAGATAGACTAACGGGTTGTGATCACTGTAGACTGTGACCACCTGCGATGTCTGGCCCACATAAACATCGAAATGCTCCAAAGCCATTACCAGCGCGAGGGCTTCTTTTTCAATGGTAGAGTAAGCTCTCTGATGTGGCTGGAACTTAGCTGAAAAGTATGCGATTGGCTGCAGCTCCTTGTTCCCGATTTGTAATAGTACCGCCCCAACCCCAGACTCACAAGCATCAACCTGTAATGAAAAAGGTTTGGAGAAGTCTGGAGACAGGAGAATGGGTGCAGAGCACAATAATCTTTTTGCTTTATTAAAAGCAGTGTTACAATCTGACGTCCAATTAAAGGGAATGCCAATGGAATGAGCAATTTGCCAACAACGCTGTAGGGACAATTTAGGTAGGTTATGCAAAGTATATGCCGACACCAGGCGTCTGACTCGTCTAGGTGGCATAAGTTATTCGCTATGCACAGTACGAATACCCCAACGTAACACGTTAATTTGCAGAACACGCTTAGCTATGCACAGTACGATTGCAGAATACGCATACAAGCAAAGCCGACTGCACACAAGATTGACCGTAGCGAAGCGAGCACACTGAACAAGCTAGTAGCGAGCTGTTGAACGATCACACAATAGCAAGGCTGATCATAAGCAACTGACACGCAAAATTTGTAAAGCGAAGCGAAACAGCAAGCTACACAATGTTCCTGCTACAAGCTTCACCCTAAGCTCAACCGTTTCTCTAAGTCCAGCTCTCGGACAGGCTACCCATATTACAACCTAGGATTTCAAATGGCCTGTTATCCCAGGTGTAATGGGAGCAAATAAACACAGTAGAAAAAGTTTAGACTTATATTATCCTTCACCAATTTAGAACAGCAATATGTACACTATGTACAGTGATAAATATAGTGCACTCCACGGTAAGCAAGGCAGAAATAGAAGCCACAAGATAGCAGACCGTGCTTCAACCAGCTCTAGAATGGGAATGACAAGGGCAGACAGGAGAGCGGTATCCACATAACCTCTGCGATTGCCAATCCCACCTTCTTATTGGCTAGAACCTGGTCACTAGTTGAACGATGGGGCCCCATCATCAACTCTTAGCAACCAGGTTCGCTGGTTGGGGGAGATAACCTGTAAATGAGGGTGTGTCCATGCGCCGAATAAAGGTTACGTACTCTTTGCATGCCACAGTCATGTTCTGCTGACCGTGCAACAGCGTCTGCCTGCTTGTTACCCTCAACATCAGCATGACCAGGGAACCATCACAAAATGATTTCATTGGTTTTGCTACAAATGCGATGCACCTCAATTTGTATACGAAGAACTAGAGGATGAGGAGAGTCAAATTTTTTAATACCCTGCAAAGCACTAAGGAAGTCTGAGAATATGACAAACTTTGAGGTAGACATATATGTAATACAAATAACTGGAATGAGAATTGCCTACAATTCAGTTGTAAGAATGCTAGCAGAGTCCAATAAATGCCCGTGCACAACGCTGTCTGGAAACACTGCTGCAAACCTGAACGCCATCAGAAGATTTAAAACTATCAGTGTACACTGCGACACCATGAGAATGAGACCAGAAGTGGTTAAGAAAAAGAGAGTAAGAGGTTAGTTTAATAATATCTTCATTATGCACCCCATACCCATCCTGTGGTGTAATAGTCACAAGGATTACAGAGGTACTTTGCAGCCCAGGGACTGGGCCACAAAGTTTTGATAGATGAACATGTTACAAAAGTAATGAACCGTTCACACGTCTACAACTGATCACAATTTTAATGAGTTATTAATGCAAATATTAATTGAGTCACCTTCTCCCTCCTCCACACACACAGAGTTCGGGAAGTCCTTGGGGTTGGAGGTTACTAGGGAGGATGTGGAAGAGTTGGTGGAGGAGGACAATGAAGAACTAACCACTGATGAGCTGCAAGATCATTTTCAACAGCAAGAGGCCGGACCTGAGGAAACTGCTTCGGAGGAGGGGATAGAGAAACTGAAGAAGTTGTCTACTTCAAAGATTAAGGAAATGTGTGCAAAGTGGGTTGAAGTGCAAACCTTTATGGATGAAAATCACCCTAACACAGCTATTGCAAGTCGTGCTGGTGACTATTACAATGACAATGTTGTCAGCCACTTTAGACAAACCATAAAGGAACGAGAGGTACAGAGCTCTATGGACAGATATGTTGTGCGACAGAGGTCCAGTGACTCTCAAGCTGGTCCTAGTGGCATTAAAAGAAAAAGGGAAGTAACCCCAGAAAAGGACTTGATACCTCAAGTCCTAATGGAAGGGGATTCCCCTTCTAAACAATAACAACTTCCACACTCTCCCCTCCTCCCATCCCATCAATCATCACCAGATCTTCAATAAATGTAAGTGTCATGTATTCTATTCTTAGTAGAGTATTAATTGTGCATGTCTTCTTCAGTTTGTGTGTATTAACCCTTTCAGGGTCCACAGGCCCTCTCAGAGACTTGTTCTCAGATTTAGATTTTGCCACTGAAGCGGCTAGTTTATTGTGCACCCCATATCCATCCTGTGGACGGTAGCGCGAGAGCATATGGATACACAAAAGGCCTAGGAACTAGGCCCCAAAGGGTTAACAGGAATACATATGGATTTATATCTACATATCTATAGTTCACTTATCTGTTACAAGCAAATTTAGGAAATTTGCTTAGTATATCTGGTATCTTATTTTCATTAATAAGATATCTTGACATGTCACATAGGTTATTATACTGTCTGTCTCTGTATTCCTCAATAAGTGGACAATTAAGCACATAGTGTTCAAGAGAGTGACCATATGCCTGATCACATAATTTACATTTAGTTTGATCATCATCTGTGTGTCTCCCAAACTGCCAGAAGTACTTGTAACCAAGCCTAAGCCTGGCCACTACAACATCAGTCAGTACTTGTAACCAAGCCTAAGTCTGGCCACTACAACATCAGTCAGTACTTGTAACCAAGCCTAAGCCTGGCCACTACAACATCAGTCAGTACTTGTAACCAAGCCTAAGTCTGGCCACTACAACATCAGTCAGTACTTGTAACCAAGCCTAAGCCTGGCCACTACAACATCAGTCAGTACTTGTAACCAAGCCTAAGCCTGGCCACTACAACATCAGTCAGTACTTGTAACCAAGCCTAAGCCTGGCCACTACAACATCAGTCAGTACTTGTAACCAAGCCTAAGCCTGGCCACTACAACATCAGTCAGTACTTGTAACCAAGCCTAAGCCTGGCCACTACAACATCAGTCAGTACTTGTAACCAAGCCTAAGCCTGGCCACTACAACATCAGTCAGTACTTGTAACCAAGCCTAAGCCTGGCCACTACAACATCAGTCAGTACTTGTAACCAAGCCTAAGCCTGGCCACTACAACATCAGTCAGTACTTGTAACCAAGCCTAAGCCTGGCCACTACAACATCAGTCAGTACTTGTAACCAAGCCTAAGCCTGGCCACTACAACATCAGTCAGTACTTGTAACCAAGCCTAAGCCTGGCCACTACAACATCAGTCAGTACTTGTAACCAAGCCTAAGTCTGGCCACTACAACATCAGTCAGTACTTGTAACCAAGCCTAAGCCTGGCCACTACACCATCACTCAGTACTTGTAACCAAGCCTAAGCCTGGCCACTACAACATCAGTCAGTACTTGTAACCAAGCCTAAGCCTGGCCACTACAACATCAGTCAGTACTTGTAACCAAGCCTAAGCCTGGCCACTACAACATCAGTGTTCACATTGCATGTTGCTCCATAAACATACTTATCTACGTTCATGTTATCATAGTGGGTTATAGATCTACTCAGGCTTCTAACTGCATTCCTATAACAATCATTTTCATTATTTACTTCTCTCCTAATATTATTCCTAATGCTAGACACAGTTATACCAAAGTTATATTCTACATTCTCCTTCTGGGTACTCTTCTTGGCTAACATATCAACTTTATCATGAAGGAGTAATCCAATGTGTGATGGGATCCATAGCAATTGTACATTAATTCCTTTGTCCCTAATTTTTGAGTATCTATACCTGGCTTCCCCAATGAGCATGTTGTTGGAGTCATTATATGAGTCAAGAGCCTTCAATGATGACATAGAATCAGTAATGATGACAGAGTCAAGCTCAGTGTCATAGGTTAGCTTTAGCGCCATTAAGATTGCAAACAATTCAGTTTGCAGTGTAGACGCCCAGTTGTTAATTCTTATGCCTAACTCAACAAATTTATTATCGTTCTTAACTAGGGAGGTGGCAACAAGAGCAGATGCAGCCCTGCCAGATAGAGAATCTTTTCCTGATCATAATGACAGAAAAAGTATGAAATTTGATGGAAAACTTATGGAATTATGCTCTTGTGAAGTTAGCGGTCTCGACAAAGTTGATGCATCGGTGATTTTGCCCACTTTGAGCCCTATTTTCGGCCAATTCAAATGTACTAGTCGACAAAAATCATAACTATTTCGCTAGAACTCCATTTTTCTATCAAATGAGTACAAGAAACCACCCATTTACAGATTTCAACTATCCAGTACAGTGGTCAGAATTTAGCAATTTTGCCAATTTCACACAAATTTCAAAAGATGCCAATTTCCAAATAGGGTCCAGAATAAACAAGAAAGACATTCCTGGCACTAAAATAACATTTCCTCTGTTCATTAGTCACGTCTCAAGGCCCCTTTTACATTCTTTTGCTTTCCATTTTAAATTTTTATTCTCACAAAAAATAGGTTTACTGTTATGCAGACTACTGCATTAGTGTAGAAATGGTATAAATAATACCTGCGCATTCGTGAAGGAATATCAGACTCACCAGTTGACGTGTATTGGACACTTAGCATGATTTGTTTACTTTTGAACTTTGGTAAAAATTGAACATTTCTGCTACTTTCAGCTCAATTTCAAGGTACTTTTCATTGTAAAACCAGTCAAAATCATCTCAATTTCTGTAATATGTCTTCCATTCTATAAAATGAGACCAGGAAAACTAGAATACAACAATAAATACCATATGAAAATACAGTGCAAAGTCGCTGTTTTAATCCAAAAACACGGTCAAAGTTTTTTTTTCTCATTACGCACTGTGTGCTACAGGATTTTTTTTATACTGCGCACACTGACCACATAGACCCATTCTTTCATATGTAGGCCTACCAGCTTTCTCTCACTAGATTTGAAGGTGCTAGAATTTATGAGTACTAGTACGTCAAGGACCCTGGCGCATAAACCGTACTAGTACGGCCGAAACCCTGAAAGGGTTAAAATTAATATTTCATGTGGTAAAATTTTTTTTTTCATACTTTGGGGTGTCAGGAACGGATTAATTTGATTTCCATTATTTCTTATGTGGAAAATTAATTCGCCTTACAATAATTTCGGCATACGATGAGCTCTCGGGAACGGATTAATATCGTAAGGCGGGGGTCCACTGCATACGGATTGTTTTCTTATTTCTAGCATGAAAGTAATAGCTAACCTGAGATAAATATAAGCTCAGTGACACTCCTTGAGACACAACATTTATTTACCTTAAACTTGCACAATCGTCAACAACCTGACAGGACAGAGTCCAGATCTTCATTAGTGGACAGAGGATGAAGCCTCCAGTGCTCCTTGAGTTGAATGATTCACACAGGTTTAGCTATAAATGAAATATCCTAGCTCATTTTCTCTTCTTCGTATTTCACTGGTGTTTGATTCTGCATAGACGAATACTGTATTTTTCTCTGTCTCATCCAATCTGGTCTTGATAGTGTTCACCACAATACTGAGAGTTTCTTATGTTTGGTGGAGCTGCTGGTCGAGGTGGTCGAGGTGATCGCTGAGACCAGTTAAGTACTCTTTGTCCTGGCGCTGAGTCACCCCTGATGTGCTGGGTCGTGACCTGCTTGAGTACAGCTGCCCCTCTGCTACCTGAGGAAGAAAAGTGGGCTACTAGAGGACCTGTTTGAGTACAGCTGCCCCTCTGCTACTCCAACAACACATTAAGTTATATATACCATTTGCCTCCACTTGCTCCTATCTAATATGCTCATGTACGCTTGCTGGAACTCTAAGCTCCTTGCACACAAAACCTCCTTTACAATTCCTAGGTCAACCGCTACCCCAACTTCCTTCCACTACAGATTTATATGCCTTCCTAGTCATTCTCTTTCATTCCATTCGTTTTAAATGTCCAAACTACCTCAACAGCCCCACAGTGTTATTATATATGAAGAGAAATATGTAGAGAGAGGAATCTCGTAAAACACTGTCTATTCACTGCAGTGAAGATGATCTGCTGTGGTTCCTGGATGAAAGTCAGGAGTCAAAACAAACCAAGGCTCAGAATGTGAACCATTAGTCAGACACAACCAGTGGTCAGTCATCCACACAGAACCAACAATTGGCTGACAACCTTGCGGCCATACAACAGAAGCAGCTGCCCTCAGACAATCCGTGGGCTACAAGAGGATAAGGAGGAAACATAGGTCAATTATGTTTCTTGACAGGCTTTTGTCTCAGAGGATCATTTTGCAGGTGAGTGTAACTATGTGGTATATCTCGTGTTCGGTGGTTCTTGCATTATACAAGATGCTACCTTGCCTATGTGCTGAAGCAGGGAACGCTTCAGCAGACCTCAGCAGATGTTAGGAACTTGAGTGTATATGGTAGCATCAGGGTGGTATGTCCGGGAGTTTGGTTCCTACCTACTGTGTGGCTGGAACACATAGCATAAACTAATGAGGACAATTTCATAGCATTACTGTCATGGTATAGATACACTCTCACAGAGAATAGGTATTGCAATCACAGGTTACACACACACTAAATAAAAAAAAAGTCAGGCCCATTTTAGAGCACACAACACCAGTGCAGAACCCACACCCGAGGAAGCATGTCAAAAAACTGGAAAAAGTGCAGAAGTATGCAGCAAGAATAATTCTAAAGCTAAAGGGTATGAACTATGATCAAAAGCTAAAGGAACTGAACCTAATGACCCTGGAGGACAGTGGAGACAAAATAACAGCATAAAAATGCTCAGAGAAACTGATAGGGCAAATAAGTGTGGTAAACAAGTACTCAGGATGATTGGGAAGTGAATGACCCTGATGAAGAAGTGATGGAGGCAGACGGCATACATAGTTTTAAGAAAGGATACAATAGGGCCCATAAGGGCTGCTACTGTACCCTATCATAGTTGAGAGGCAGGACCTGGAGCTAAGACTCGACACCTGCAACCACCAACCACATATAGTATGTGTATATGAGACGAACCTGCAAGTCCTACCCAACATTCTCCACTCTACATGTACACATGTACTCTTTACCCAAGTAGATCTGTTTGTAAATTGATAAAGTCCACTGTGTGGACAAAATGTAGTTAATAAAGGATCGCATTATACTACATTTTTCTATTTTTCCATCGTGTCAGTATTTTATACCATTTATCTCCATTAACAAAAAAATATTAAAATTTCATAATAAAGGTAATTTAGTTATGCACAGAGAAATTCCACACATTATTACCAGTAGAAAAAAAATGGTAGATTATTATGTGATCCTCACTCGTACCTTTGTTCGTGAATGTGATGAGTTTTTTTCTCTGTCTTCATCAGATCTTCCTCTGCCTCATCTTCAGTGCCCGTTGTCGTCATCCTTAACCTCGTTCACCAATGATTCTGAAAGCAGGGTCTCTGGGGTAGTTGCTTCTGCTGTTTGGATGCAAATTTGTCAGCTACCTGTTGGTTCTGTGTGGATGACTCACCTTCTGTTGTGTCTGACTGATGGTTCACATTCTAAGCCTCATTTTGTTTTGACTCCTGACTTTCATCCAGGAACCACTGCAGATCATCTTCACTGCAATGAATAAGCAATATTTTACAAGATTCCTCTCTCTACATATTTCTTGTGTTAAAAAGGGTGAGAATTACGATGGAAATGAAGTCCTTCTGGAAGGGGATTCTCCTTCCAAGCAATAGACAATTCTGAATTTCCCCTGCTGCTGGCACATCACTCATCAACAACTCCACAATAAAGGTAAGTGGCATTTTATTAATGTTTATTTTGCATGTCCCATTCCTTTCCATATAAGGAAATGTATATTTCATGTAATTTTTTTTTTTTCAGACTTTGGGGTGTCAGGAACGGATTAATTCTATTTACAGTGGACCCCCACATAACGATATTAATCCGTTCCTGAGAGCTCAATGTTATGCGAAATAATCGGTATGTGAATGAATTTTCCCCATAAGAAATAATGGAAATCAAATTAATCTGTGCAAGACACCCAAAAGTGTGAAAAAAAAAAATTTACCACATGAAATATACATTTTCCTACACACAAAGAGAAGGATACATGCACAATAGTAGAGTAGTACATGCACAATATATATTGTGCATGTACTAGTCTACTAAATGAAGAATAAATGACACTTACCTTTATTGAAGATGCAGCAATGACTGATGAGACACTGTGTCCTGGGAGTGCCTTTTCCTCCTGAGTACTGTAGGTCCTGTTTGGCATTTTCTTCCAGAACAGGCCTTATCACACTGTGTATGCCACTACGATTCTTAAATCTCTCAAACTAACCTTTGCTGGCTTTAAATTCACCAATATGAGCACTAGTTCCAGGCGTTTTTCCCTGTTCACCTGGGTGTTAGTCGACTGGTGTGGGTTGCATCCTGGGAGACAAGATTAAGGACTCCAATGGAAATAAGTTAGACAGTCTTCGATGACACTGACATTTTTGGGTTATCCTGGGTGGCTAACCCTCTGGGGTTAATTGTTTCTTGGTATTCTCAATAAGCCACACCAACAACGGTGCTACAGCAGCAGCAGCAGCTGATGATGCTACAGCAGCAGCAGACGGTACTACAGCAGCAGCAGCAGCAGACGGTACTACAGCAGCAGCAGCAGCAGCTGACGGTGGTACAGCAACAGCAGCAGCAGCTGACGGTGGTACAGCAGCAGCAGCAGCAGCAGATGACGGTGCTACAGCAGCAGCATTTTATTCCAAAAAAATGGTCAGTTTTTTTTTTCTCATTATGCACTGTGTGCTGCAGGATTTTTTTTATACTGTGCACACTGACCACATAGACCCATTCTTTCATATGTAGGCCTACCAGCTTTCTCCCACTAGATTTGAGGGCGCTAGAATTTAGGCGTACTAGTACGTCAAAAACCCTGGGTCATAAGCCGTACTAGTACGGCCGAAACCCTCAAAGGGTTAAAGGTAAGTGTCAATTATTCTTTCGTTATTTATTGTTACTTATTGTCATTGTTGTTATTGTAATTACTATTCTATTGCATTAAACTTAATATTTCATGTGGTAAAATTTTTTTTTTTCATACTTTTGGGTGTCTTGCACGGATTAATTTGATTTCCATTGTTTCTTATGGGGAAAATTGATTCGCTTTCCGATATTTTTGGTTTACGATGAGCTCTCAGGAACGGATTAGTATCGCAAACCGGGGGTCCACTGTATTTGGTGGTCTTCTTCAGTGAATGTAGTTTTTCTTTGGTCGCTACGAATGATTGCGGCCCTGAACGACTGGTTCAGTGAAGAAGAGCATTTAGGTCGAAATCATAATCTTGGGTTTCCAGTACAGACTCTGGCTATGTCTCCAAGTAGGCAGGTGGAGTTGTTTCTTGTACAGGTTGTGGTGGTTTATCAGAGAAGAGAAACCCATCAATGAAGGTCTCCCGTTCTCGCTGCTCTTCTGATTCAGCTGCTGCTCCAGTAGAAACTGTAAAGTTGTTATGTAATAACTTATAAGGTCATCATTGTCAGTAGTACAGTTTCCTGACTTGCGATCTTGTTATTTTCCTCTACAGTCTGTACTTCTGGCTCAGTTGTGGAAGTTGGCAGTTTGTCGTCACTGGTTGAATCTGCCTCACTTTCTTTTCTTTTTTCTCCTCTTTCAGTTTTTTTCTGTTCTTTCTTCAGTCTGCTGTTTTCTAGTTTTTGTTTTTTTCGGGAAACTTCGTCTAATAGAGGCTTTTTTTCTCTTAGCATGACATTCATAAATAGTTTTATCAGAAGAATCAATCCATTTTATTCCTTGATAGGTATACTCAAAGTTATACCTGGCTGGCATTCTCTTGACACCGATGCCAGAAGTATTTAACTGTTTCCCAAAGTCCACAGAATGAGCAGGTACCAGTCCTGCCTCTGCTTCGTATTTTCTGTACAGGTCTTGAAATTCCATCCGGAAAACAAAATCTTGAGAATCTTTGGAAATAAGAATATTTTCCTTCAAGAACCTTTCAAAGAAGCTCTCTCTGCCTGCGTAGTTTTTTCATATCCGAGGACCACCAGCATGTTCTCCTCGTATTTCTTCATATTGAGGTCTTCCAGCTGACGACTCTTGTGTTCCAAGATGTTCCGAACTTCCACTTTTTCTTCAACTAAAGCTTGTAGCTTTGGAGGATGGTTTCTTTCCCACGAAGAGCAGAAGATATTTAGTACTGTTATTGTAAGTCTCTGAGGTATTTCACCTTAGACTATACACTTATAGTTCAAGACACTCAAGGAGTTCACTCCTTCAGGTCTCCCTGACTTGGTGGGATATGGCCAGTTTGATAAAAAAAAATAATACAGCCTCTCCTCACTTAGCGACTTACTTGTTTACCTATGCCTTGGACTTACGACGGGTTCTCTGACCAGTATTCATACCTAAATAATGTATATCTGAGCTCATTTCCTGTATTTCATATATGTATTTCAATATACAGTGGATCCCCGCATAATGATCAGCTCCCAACGCGACCAATTATGTAAGTGTATTTTTGTAAGTGCTTTTGTAGGAGTATTTTTGGGGGTCTGAAATGGACTAATCTACTTCACAATATCTCATATGGGAACAAATTCGGTCTATAACGGCACCCAAACAGACTTCTGGATTGAAATAATATCGTTATGCGGGGGTCCACTGTACAATATAGTACTTTATAAACATTTAAAAATATACCAGAACTGTTATGAATGGTGCAAAGGTAACATTAAATCAATATAAAAGATGGTTGACACAAACTCACTACCATTATAGTAAGCTCCTCACTTAGCGATGAATTCTTTTAACGATGTGGTCTTAGGAATGGATCTTCGTCATATACAGGCCATAGCTGACATCAACAACATATTACTATATAGAAAGCCGCTTGTTATGCTGAGAATTTCCCACAAATTAGGTGAATTTTGTCCCAGGATGCAACCCACACTAGTCCACTAACACCCAGGTACCCATTTTATACTGATGGGTGAACATGGACAGCAGATGTCTTATGGAAACACATCCTAATGTATTTCAGCCGTACTGGGAATTGATCCCTGGACCTCAGTGTGTGAGCTGAGTGCTCATAATATTCACTCACAGTCCTACTGACTTCACATGATGTCCTTGTATTAACTGCCACTGGTTGGCAAAACGTCTAAAATAAAGATACCCAGATGTTGCACATGTCTAATTTCTGTAACTTATTCAGTTATCAAAATTTTGGGCTCCAGTCCCTGGACCCATTAAATACCTCTGTAATGTTGAGGTACAGTCCCTGGACCCATTATGTACCTCTGTAATGTTGAGGTACAGTCCCTGGACCCATTAAATACCTCTGTAATGTTGAGGTACAGTCCCTGGACCCATTATGTACCTCTGTAATGTTGAGGTACAGTCCCTGGACCCATTATGTACCTCTGTAATGTTGAGGTACAGTCCCTGGACCCATTAAGTACCTCTGTAATGTAGAGGTACAGTCCCTAAAACAGTTATGTACCTCTGTAATGTTGAGGTACAGTCCCTGGACCCATTATGTACCTCTGCAACATTGAGGTACAGCCCCTGGAACCATTATGTACCTCTGTAATGTTGAGGTACAGTCCCTGGACCCATTATGTACCTCTATAATGTTGAGGTATAGTCAATGGACCCATTATGTACTTCTGTAATGGGTTAACTACCACCCACATGATGGGTATGGGGTGACTACCACCCACAGGATGGGTATGGGGTGACTACCACCCACAGGATGGGTATGGGGTGACTACCACCCACAGGATGGGTATGGGGTGACTACCACCCACAGGATGGGTATGGGGTGACTACCACCCACAGGATGGGTATGGGGTGACTACCACCCACATGATGGGTATGGGGTGACTACTACCCACATGATGGGTATGGGGCAACTACCACCCACAGGATGGGTATGGGGTGACTACCACCCACAGGATGGGTATGGGGTGACTACCACCCACAGGATGGGTATGGGGTGACTACCACCCACATGATGGGTATGGGGTGACTACTACCCACATGATGGGTATGGGGCAACTACCACCCACAGGATGGGTATGGGGTGACTACCACCCACAGGATGGGTATGGGGTGACTACCGCCCACAGGATGGGTATGGGGTGACTACCACCCACAGGATGGGTATGGGGTGACTACCACCCACAGTATGGGTATGGGGTGACAACCCCTCACACAACGGTTATCGGATACACAATAAACACATTAAACTAGCCTCATCTTGTAAGTATAATACACCACCAGGCCTGGTGGCCCGGTGGCCTGGTGGCTAAAGCTCCCGCTTCACACACGGAGGGCCCGGGTTCGATTCCCGGCGGGTGGAAACATTTCGACACATTTCCTTACACCTGTTGTCCTGTTCACCTAGCAGCAAATAGGTACCTGGGTGTTAGTCGACTGGTGTGGGTCGCATCCTGGGGGACAAGATTGAGGACCCCAACAGAAATAAGTTAGACAGTCCTGGATGACGCACTGACTTTCTTGGATTATCCTGGGTGGCTAACCCTCCGGGGTTAAAAATCCGAACGAAATCTCTATCTCTTATCTAAGAAACTGTAAACCCTGATGTTCTCGTTGCCAGTTCTCCGAGGCGTCCTTCTACGTCCAAATATTATTAAAAACACACATTAATAAAAGTAACCATTGACACTCAATGTTAAACTTCACAATTATAATTTATTGTGATTTTTTTGATAAATTAAGTCAAATTTAATTATAATATTTACCTGGAGTTTACCTGGAGAGAGTTCTGGGGGTCAACGCCCCCGCGGCCCGGTCTGTGACCAGGCCTCCTGGTGGGCCAGAGCCTGATCAACCAGGCTGTTACTGCTGGCTGCATGCAATCCAACGTACGAGCCACAGCCTGGCTGGTCAGGAACCGACTTTAGGTGCTTGTCCAGTGCCAGCTTGAAGACTGCCAGGGGTCTGTTGGTAATCCCCCTTAGACCCCTGGCAGTCTTCAAGCTGGCACTGGACAAGCACCTAAAGTCGGTTCCTGACCAGCCGGGCTGTGGCTCGTACGTTGGATTGCATGCAGCCAGCAGCAACAGCCTGGTTGATCAGGCTCTAACCCACCAGGAGGCCTGGTCACAGACCGGGCCGCGGGGGCGTTGACCCCCGAAACTCTCTCCAGGTAAACTCCAGGTAAATATTATAATTAAATTTGACGCTACGTTTTGCCCGAGATGCTCAGTCCTTCGGTTTATTGTACGTCTTGCGCTGTAATACTGAAATTTAAATTAGTATCTGCAGTGTACTCACCTAACTGTGGTTGCAGGGGGTTGAGTCATAGCTCCTGGGCCAACATTAATATCAAATTCTTTTCTGCAGTAGACAACGTAATATTTTATTGTGTATTACATTGATAATATGTATCTTACTCGTTATTAATGTAATTATAAGAGTTTATAGTGGAGTGGTAAGCCAGTGGAAGGTCTCGGTCACATGACCAAAAGCTACAGCTGTGGGTCACTGGACAAGCACCTAAAGTCAGTTCCTGATCAGCCGGGCTGTGGCTCATACGTTGGTTTGCGTGCAGCCAGCAGCAACAGCCTGGTTGATCAGGCTCTAACCCACCAGGAGGCCTGGTCACAGACCGGGCCGCGGGGGCGTTGACCCCCGAAACTCTCTCCAGGTAAACTCCAGGTATACCTGGAGGGTGTTACAGTGGGGGGGGGGGGTTAACGCCCCCTGATCAACCAGACTATTACTGCTGGCCGCATGTAAAGCAATGTAAGACTATTTAGGTATCTTTACTCAGAAAGGCTGCGCCTACACAGCTTCTTCAGTCGCGCAGACAAGACTTACCAGATGTGAAGACGCCGTCATCAGTCCCTCAGCTCTGAGGGGGTCAGTCCCTCAGCCTGGAGGACTGACCACCTGCACAGGTGGGGCAGCTGCACCCAGCTGCCAGATGGCACACCACCTGGACCACATATTTCCACAATTATCCAATATTTGGCACAGAGACTAAAAAAAAAAATAAATAATGCCGTAATGTTCACGACGGAAAGATAAACAATCGACTCAAAAATTTTTTAGGCAGGTTCTTCTCTTGTACGAGATATATGATCCCTTACGGGTTTACCGCTTAATTTCATCATAATAATCATCTGTTTATATTATTATTAATTATGTGCAGAAAAAATGTGCTGGGAATTTAATGTGTATATTTTTTTTAAAGAGCATTCAAGAAATCTTTAAATTCATATATTTTTTTTGTATCTGACCTGGTGACAGTTTATTAGCTTAGAGTAATTTTTAATAGTATTCAAGGGAGTATTTTATATGAAAAAAAAGTTTTGTAGGTTTAGATTATAATTAGAAGTTTTTTAATTCTAATTTGAACTGTAAATCTGAAAACAATAATGGATAGTTTCGTAGATTACATTTTTATTTTGTTTAAAATTAGTTGTATTCTTTATTAATACTGATATATGTTATAGCATGACAATATATAATATATTGCTATATACAGTACTGTAATATACTGACGTATATAATGCGGATTCGTATAAAAATTTAATAAAAAAAATGAAACAATTTGATCCTTTCTCTCATATTATTACCTTTTAATATAATAATTTACTTAGTAATTGTTTATACACGGACATGGATATTATAAAACATAATTAATCATCTTAATATAAACGATATATCACAAAATAAAAGTAATAATAAGTAAACAAGTAATGTAATAGAGGGAACTAAGGTCTAAGTCAGCTGATGTTAGAGGCAGCAGGTGATTATTATTATTATTATTGTCTTCCCTCGTTATCCTACATCCACACTCACACTTTGTAATATATTTGTGTACTCTCAGTGTACATGTACAACAGTGTACATGTACAACAGTGTACATGTACAACAGTGTACATGTACAACAGTGTACATGTACAACAGTGTACATGTACAACAGTGTACATGTACAACAGTGTACATGTACAACAGTGTACATGTACAACAGTGTACATGTACACTGCTCTCACATCTACACTTAAAAACAACGTTAGTGTTGTTGTTGTGGTCTGGCAGAACATTGTTTATTTATACTAATGTTGTCTTTTTTGATTTTCAGGTGAAAAAATATATTTTTGTTGTGTATGTTAGTGAATATGTGTAAGTGTATGTTAGTGTATATGTGTGTATGTCAGTGTATATATGTATATTAGTGTATATGTGTCAGTGCATATATGTGTATTGTCAGTGTATACCTGGAGTTTACCTGGAGAGAGTTTCGGGGGTCAACGCCCCCGCGGCCCGGTCTGTGACCAGGCCTCCTGGTGGATCAGAGCCTGATCAACCAGGCTGTTGCTGCTGGCTGCACGCAAACCAACATACGAGCCACAGCCCGGCTGATCAGGAACTGACTTTAGGTGCTTGTCCAGTGCCAGCTTGAAGACTGCCAGGGGTCTGTTGGTAATCCCCCTTATGTGTGCTGGGAGGCAGTTGAACAGTCTCGGGCCCCTGACACTTATTGTATGGTCTCTTAACGTGCTAGTGACACCCCTGCTTTTCATTGGGGGATGTTGCATCGTCTGCCAAGTATTTTGCTTTCGTAGTGAGTGATTTTCGTGTGCAAGTTCGGTACTAGTCCCTCTAGAATTTTCCAGGTGTATATAATCATGTATCTCTCCCTCCTGCGTTCCAGGGAATACAGTTTTAGGAACCTCAAGCGCTCCCAATAATTGAGGTGTTTTATCCCCGTTATGCGCGCCGTGAAGGTTCTCTGTACATTTTCTAGGTCAGCAATTTCACCTGCCTTGAAAGGTGCTGTTAGAGTGCAGCAATATTCCAGCCTAGATAGAACAAGTGACCTGAAGAGTGTCATCATGTGCTTGGCCTCCCTAGTTTTGAAGGTTCTCATTATCCATCCTGTCATTTTTCTAGCAGATGCGATTGATACAATGTTATGGTCCTTGAAGGTGAGATCCTCCGACATGATCACTCCCAGGTCTTTGACGTTGGTGTTTCGCTCTATTTTGTGGCCAGAATTTGTTTTATACTCTGATGAAGTTTTAATTTCCTCACGTTTATCATATCGGAGTAATTGAAATTTCTCATCGTTGAACTTTATATTGTTTTCTGCAGCCCACTGAAAGATTTGGTTGATGTCCGCCTGGAGCCTTGCAGTGTATGTCAGTGTATATGTATGTCAGTGTATATGTATGTCAGTGTATATGTATGTCAGTGTATATGTTTGTCAGTGTATATGTGTGTACCAATGTATGTCAGTGTATATATGTGTACCAGTGTATGTCAGTGTATATATGTGTACCAGTGTCAGTGTATATATGTGTACCAGTGTATGTCAGTGTATATATGTGTACCAGTGTCAGTGTATATATGTGTACCAGTGTATGTCAGTGTATATATGTGTACCAGTGTATGTCAGTGTATATATGTGTACCAGTGTATGTCAGTGTATATATGTGTACCAGTGTATGTCAGTGTATATATGTGTACCAGTGTATGTCAGTGTATATATGTGTACCAGTGTATGTCAGTGTATATATGTGTACCAGTGTATGTCAGTGTATATATGTGTACCAGTGTATGTCAGTGTATATATGTGTACCAGTGTATGTCAGTGTATATATGTGTACCAGTGTATGTCAGTGTATATATGTGTACCAGTGTATGTCAGTGTATATATGTGTACCAGTGTATGTCAGTGTATATATGTGTACCAGTGTATGTCAGTGTATATATGTGTACCAGTGTATGTCAGTGTATATATGTGTACCAGTGTCAGTGTATATATGTGTACCAGTGTATGTCAGTGTATATATGTGTACCAGTGTATGTCAGTGTATATATGTGTATCAGTGTATGTCAGTGTATATATGTGTACCAGTGTATGTCAGTGTATATATGTGTACCAGTGTATATATGTGTACCAATGTCAGTGTATATATGTGTACCAATGTCAGTGTATATATGTGTACCAATGTCAGTGTATATATGTGTACCAGTGTATGTCAGTGTATATATGTGTACCAGTGTATGTCAGTGTATATATGTGTACCAGTGTATATCAGTGTATATATGTGTACCAGTGTATGTCAGTGTATATATGTGTACCAGTGTATGTCAGTGTATATATGTGTACCAGTGTATGTCAGTGTATATATGTGTACCAATGTCAGTGTATATATGTGTACCAGTGTATGTCAGTGTATATATGTGTACCAATGTCAGTGTATATATGTGTACCAGTGTATGTCAGTGTATATATGTGTACCAGTGTATGTCAGTGTATATATGTGTACCAGTGTATGTCAGTGTATATATGTGTACCAGTGTATGTCAGTGTATATATGTGTACCAGTGTATGTCAGTGTATATATGTGTACCAGTGTATGTCAGTGTATATATGTGTACCATTGTCAGTGTATATATGTGTACCAGTGTCAGTGTATATATGTGTACCAGTGTCAGTGTATATATGTGTACCAGTGTCAGTGTATATATGTGTACCAGTGTCAGTGTATATATGTGTACCAGTGTCAGTGTATATATGTGTACCAGTGTATGTCAGTGTATATATGTGTACCAGTGTATGTCAGTGTATATATGTGTACCAGTGTATGTCAGTGTATATATGTGTACCAGTGTATATCAGTGTATATATGTGTACCAGTGTATGTCAGTGTATATATGTGTACCAGTGTATATCAGTGTATATATGTGTACCAGTGTATGTCAGTGTATATATGTGTACCAGTGTATGTCAGTGTATATATGTGTACCAGTGTATGTCAGTGTATATATGTGTACCAGTGTATGTCAGTGTATATATGTGTACCAATGTATGTCAGTGTATATATGTGTACCAGTGTATGTTAGTGTATATATGTGTACCAGTGTATGTCAGTGTATATATGTGTACCAGTGTATGTCAGTGTATATATGTGTACCAGTGTCAGTGTATATATGTGTACCAATGTATGTCAGTGTATATATGTGTACCAATGTCAGTGTATATATGTGTACCAGTGTCAGTGTATATATGTGTACCAATGTATGTCAGTGTATATATGTGTACCAATGTATGTCAGTGTATAAATATTCTCAAATTTTGAAAAAAGCCCAGGATAGCCCGGGGCGGGGAGTGTCAGCCGCCCGGGATAGCCCGGGGCGGGGAGTGTCAGCCGCCCGGGATAACCCGGGGCAGGGAGTGTCAGCCACCCGGGATAATGCAAGAAAGTCAGTGTGTCATTGAGGGACTGTCTGTCTTATTTCCATTGTCTTCCTTCAGTGTTGTCCGCCAGGATGCCACCAAGACCAGTCACCTAACACCCAGATACTACTTAACTGCTAGGTGAACAGGACAACAGCTGAAAGAAAAAGCATCTGATGTTTTCACCTCTCCATGGATCAAACCGTGACCCTCAGCATATGAAGCGAGAGCTTTGCCATTTAGGCCATTCTGCAAGTTGAATGGACAGCTTACTTAGCCTAATCTTTTTTTTTCATGCAAGATATATCTCGACTTTCTGCAGTTGTAATTACTGTCATATCCAGTATGTTTTGAGGTACATTTTAACCTGACCACCTGTGTTGGGTCGAAATTGAGTCTAAGTCATCAAATTGAGATGTACTGTTGTACATCCAGACAGATGTCTTGAAGGAATTGCAGTCTCTCCTGAAGGTGTTGATTGTAGAATTTAAAGTGTATTGAGGTACAGGTACATGTGTATTTACCAATATTTATCTCAAGATTGAGACAATGAAGCATTGTTTGATTGTTTGATGTAGATGGTTATGATAACACCATATTGTGTGTAGAGGGCCGGGGGGATGATAGTGACAGTGCAACATCAGTGTTCCTGTGGGATACACTGAAAAGGTTAGTCTTGTTACATTAAATGCTCTATGAACTTCATATTTGTGTGGAAATTTGAGTACGCTCAAAGGATCTGCCTGGTATGGGCCAGTAGGCCTACTGCAATTTTCCTCATGAGTTTATATACATGTAGACTCTGAACATTTATGCATGCATGTGTGTGTATGGGTGGGGGGGGAGGATGACTGAGAAGTGGAATGTACAGTGGACCCCCGCATAACGATTACCTCCGAATGCGACCAATTATGTAAGTGTATTTATGTAAGTGCGTTTGTACGTGTATGTTTCAGGGTCTGAAATGGACTAATCTACTTCACAATATTCCTTATGGGAATAAATTCGGTCAGTACTGGCACCTGAACATACTTATGGAGTGAAAAAATATCGTTAACCGGGGGTCCACTGTACTAGGGAAGAAGATAGTTGAAGCTTCATTCACCAGGTTAAAGTACAGCAAATACAGTATGACAAGACTTGCCAAACTTTATCATGGAAGGTTGGAAGGAGTAGGCGAGGTTTATGGAGGGGTAGGACCTGCATCATCCAGTAGGCATGTGAGTGTGTTAGATTACAGGGAGTGAAATCATGCAATCTCTGGGGTTTGATGTGCTGTTGGGGCATAGTTTGTGATAATGTCGGTAGGTCCCATGGCCAGGCTCCAGGGGTAGAAAAACTCAGAACTCGTCAAAGGTAATATGTTAGATAAAAGGACACATGCCACAATAAAATGTCACATTAGTTCCACATGTCCTTTTTACCCATAGTATGACAGGTATTACAAACACATGTGGTAGTGTATATGTGTAGTATGGGAGGTATATATGATAATTTCTTATAAAGCTCGTCTGTATAATGTGATTTTTCATTACTGCGACCGAGAAGGTCCACCAAAATTGCACAGCATTTGTAAAGGCCCGAAATGCATTGAACAATTAGTGGCTTTTTTTTATGCCTATTTTATTGTGTTTGTCCATGTATCCAGGCTCTGGTGGCCTGGTGGTTAACGCTCTCGCTTCACACGGTGAGGGCCTGGGTTCGATTCCCAGCTAGAGTAGAAACATTGGACGTGTTTCTTTCCACCTGTTGTCTATGTTCCCATCAGTAAAATGGGTACCTGGGTGTTAGTCGACTGGTGTGGGTCGCATCCTGGGACACTGACCTAAGGAGGCCTGGTCACAGACCGGGCCGCGGGGGCGTTGACCCCCGGAACTCTCTCCAGATAAACTCCAGATCTATGGCTCATAGAAATTAATAATTATCATAACACAGTGGACCCCCGCATAACGATATTATTTCAATCCAGAAGTCTGTTTGGGTGCCGTTATAGACCGAATTTGTTCCCATAAGAGATATTGTGAATTAGATTAGTCCGTTTCAGACCCCCAAAAATGCACCTACAAAAGCACTTGCAAAAATACACTTACATAATTGGTCGAATTGGGAGCTGATCGTTATGCGGGGGTCCACTGTACTGTTATTAATGATATTCTATTTTGGATGCACTCTTCAAATTGTATTATAAAAAATAATCACTCCAGTGACTAATGTTTTGCCCATGCATTGCTTTTTGTCTGTCAAGATTATATCTAATTTATTTATATTTCTAGTAGGCTCTTATCTGCTAGCTCAGTGCAAAATTTTTCAGGGAATACTCCATGTGTGAAAAATATTATAATGCATACCTTAATTTATATTGTCCATTTTGTATGGGAGTTTGTCTCTAGGTTAATAACAATGTTTATTTCTACCAGTGCATGATACAACTTACACCGACTGTAGTTGACATCAGTGACATACTGTATAGAAACTCCCTGGTAATGTAGAGCATTTCTGGCAAGTTAGGTTAATTTTGCCACCCACACCAGTCAACTAACACCCAGGTACCTACTTACTGTTAGGTGAACATGGACAGAAGGTGTACAGTGGACCCCCTGTTTACGATATTATTTCATTCCAGAAGTATGTTCAGGTGCCAGTACTGAACGAATTTGTTCCCATAAGGGATATTGTGAATTAGATTAGTCCATTTGACCCCCAAACATACACGTACAAATGCACTTGCATAAACACACTTACATAATTGGTCGCATTGGGAGCTGATCGTAAACCGGGGGTCCACTGTATTAGGGAAACATGCCCCAGTGTTTCCACATGTACTGGGCATCAAACCATGGACCTCAGTGCATGAGTTGAGTACTCTACCAACCCATCTGTGGGAAAGGATTCACACTTCTGACAGTAGTATAAATTTTATGTTGGAAATGGTCTAAAATACCAAAAAGTGAACGAGCAAGACATATCACTTTGATATATCTGCGAGTTCTATTAATCTTTCTACTTGCCTGATCAGCCAGGTTGTTGCTGCTGGTGGCCCTCTGATCAACATATCCAACATGTGTAACAGTTGGGTATCTTTATTGCTGGAACATTACACCTATTCGATAGGCTTCTTCAGTCAAATACGTTTTACTTTTTAATTTAATTGCTGAGAGCATTAATTGATATCCCATTCCAGATATCACAATTTCTTCGTTTTGGCAGGATTAGCAGCAACATTATTAGGAGAAGTGGTGTCCCATGTCCTCCAATCATTCGCCACTTCAGTAATGGACTCCACTACACCAACGTGTAATGTTGGACGTGGCGCAGTTCGCCTCACCCTAGACCAAGCTTGCCTCAAAGTCTTCAACTCTGATACTGCTTCTTATCTTCAGCTTTGGGCTCAGTCTGTCGAGTGCTATAAGGTCAGCAGTGTCTTGTCTATAATGTACCTGTGATTTTTAAGGACAAATGTACAGGTGCTCCTTGACTAACAATGGTTCAGCTTATGATATTTCGACTTTATAATGGTGCAAAAGCAATTACTTGGGAGATGAAAATTGAAATACAGTGGACCCCCGCATAACGATTACCTCCGAATGCGACCAATTATGTAAGTGTATTTATGTAAGTGCGTTTGTACGTGTATGTTTGGGGGTCTGAAATAGACTAATCTACTTCACAATATTCCTTATGGGAACAAATTCGGTCAGTACTGGCACCTGAACATACTTCTGGAGTGAAAAAATATCGTTAACCGGGGGTCCACTGTACTGTATTTTGTGGCTTATTAGATGCATGTTTTTTTTCCTAAAGAGTCTAAAAACCAGCCTGCATCCTGTAAACGGAAGGTCAGTGATGGGAGCTATAAGTTTGGGGTGGACTGTAGCTCTCCCAGTTAGGTCCGATACCGAGCCATTGAAACTAAAACAAAGTCTTATAAGCCACAAAATACGGTAATTACCCAGCACGAAGGCGGCAAGTCTATAACTTGTGTTCATTTATTTACTTTTCAGTACTGGTATTTAGTTAGTAATTATTTGTTTGTTTATTTAGTGACAGCAGTTTATCATATACAGTGGACCCCCGGTTAACGTTATTTTTTCACTCCAGAAGTATGTTCAGGTGCGAGTACTGACCGAATTTGTTCCCATAAGAAATATTGTGAAGTAGATTAGTCCATTTCAGACCCCCAAACATACACGTACAAATGCACTAACATAAATACACTTACATAATTGGTCGCATTCGGAGGTAATCGTTATGCGGGGGTCCACTGTATTCATATTCGATGTAGGATATTTTTGACATACGATGGGTTCATTAAAACGTAACCCCGTTGTAAGTAGAGGGGCACCTGTATACTCACGGCCTTGACAAATTAGAGGATTTTCGAATATCACATTTCTGAGATTTTTGCTATAATTGTAAAAACTTTCACTCGAAATACTCTAGTGATTTCTAGGTATTGTGGTAGCTAATATGTGTTATGACAGTGTAACCCATGGCAGTTCCTGACTCTCGACCCTGGCACCATACAAGAGCTGGTTGTCAACACCACCTACCCTTCTGACCTTTACATCAGAAATGAAACAGAGAGTGACCTTTACAAGTAAGAAGCCTAGAGATCTTTATAACCCTATTGTAATGTATTTGTTATTGTATTTTTTTTTATTTTTACTCTATGAAGTCAGTACCTGACCAGCTGGGCTGTGGTTCATACGTTGGTTTACGTGCAGCCACCAGTAATAACCTGGTTAATCAGGCCCTGATCCACCACAAGGCCCAGTCATAGACCGGGCCGCAGGGGCGTTGACCCTTGAGACCCCCTCCAGATATACTCCAGGTATATGGTATAGCACTATTATTCTGAACTTTTGAGCAGGAGGTTCCTACAGATACCAGAAGTCTGGTGTGAGCAAAGATGAAGTATACTACATACATAGAATTTTTTCTTTAATTAAAAAGTGTAGTCACCCCTGGGAATTATACATCCTCATGCGGGTACGGTAATCCGTCCATATAATGAACTAATTGGGAGGAGCTGTTCACTAATAATAACTGTGGTGGGTAAAGAGAAGATTTTTTGCCAGGAGCTCAGCTCGCTCTGATAAACTGTGAGTGGTAAATTTGGGCCTAGATATGAGAGAATACATCTGTGGTATGTGTGCACCACATAAAACAAATCCTGCAGCACACTGTGTATAATGAGAGAAAAAAAGTTATTTTTTATTAAAACAGCGACTTTGCAGTGTTTTTTCGTATGTTTTTTATAGTTGTATTTGCGATTTCTTGGTCTCATTTGATAGAATGGAAGACATATTACAGAAATAGAGATGATTTTGATTGGTTTTAGCATTGGAAATGGCTTGAAACTGAACTCAAAGTAGCAGAAATGTTAATTTTTTGCCGATGTTCAAGAGTAAACAAACGACCTCACACGTCTAATACACGCCAGCTGGTGGGTCTAATATACATTCACAAATATGGTGATGATATTTATTCAATTATTACAATATTACATAACGGTAAATCTTCTATTTTTTGGTTTGAATAAAAATTAGTTATATGAATAAAAAATTAAAATGGAATTCATTTGTAAATCCTCAAAACGTAACTAATGAACAGAGGAAATGTTAGTTTAGTGCCAGGAATACCTGCATTGTTTATTCTGGACTCTATTTTGAAATTGGAATATTTTGAACTTTGTGTTATATTGACCAAATTACCAATTTCCAATCACTTTATTTTGTAGTTGAAACAGTTGACTGGGCGATTTCTTGTGCTCAATCAATAGAATAAAGTAATACTCGTGAAATAGCTAAGAATTTGGTCGACTGGAATAATGTAATTGGCCTAAAATGGGTTCAAAGTCGGCAAAATCCCCGATTTGTAAATATCGCCGACACATCAAAATTCGCGAGAGCATAATTTCATCAGTTTTCCATCAAATTTCGTACTTTTTGTTTTATTACCTTCAGAAAAACATTCTCTACCATTTCATAAGAAAAAATAACTAAATTTTTTTTTTTTAAATTCTTGGACTCTGGTGCGCACTTCGAAATTTGGCCTCTGGACCCTGAAAGGGTTAAACATTCTCATTGCTAAACGTTAGTCACTGGTCATGCAGCAGTGATGTAACTGGTCATGCAGCAGTCACTAGTCATGCAACAGTGATGTATGTAACTGGAGTTTACTACCCCTATCCCCCCACCCTTGGATTTCATGGAAGTGACACCAAAGATGCCACCCTGGGCGACACCAATGATTCCGCCCCAGGTGACACCGACTCGAGCAACGCCTATGGATAGATGTATGGTCCAACAGGCTGCTGACAACAACAGCCTGGTTGATTAGGCAAGCACAAGACAAGCCTGGCTCAAGACTAGGTTGCAGGTGTGGGGAAAACTCTCGAAAGCCTTCAGAGGTAAGGTATGTCATAGGTAGCGAGAAACATCTCTTGCTTACACCAAGCAGAAACTGAGTTACGTACCACACATGCTCTTAAAATATGTTAAACGAGAAATTAAACCCAGAGCAAAGCTAAGGGTTCACACCACAACAAACTACCAGTGATGGTGTGGAATGTACTTAATGGTGGTTTGCTATACAGTGGACCCCCGCATAACGATTACCTCCGAATGCGACCAATTATGTAAGTGTATTTATGTAAGTGCGTTTGTACGTGTATGTTTGAGGGTCTGAAATGGACTAATCTACTTCACAATATTCCTTATGGGAACAAATTCGGTCAGTACTGGCACCTGAACATAATTCTGGAGTGAAAAAATATCGTTAACCGGGGGTCCACTGTAATGTGTTTTGGTTTCATGTTAGCTATATAAATGCTTTTACAGTAGAACCTCAGTTTACATTTGCCCTGGTTTTCATCTAATTCGTTTTTCAACGACTCTTTTCGTCAAAATATTGTCCCAGTTTTCGTTCATCACCTCGGTTTTTGTCCGCTGTACGGAACGTGTCCATCTGCTCGCGCCCACACAAAGCATCCCACGTATGCATTCTGAGTCAGTCTGGCTTTGTTTCTTGACGAGTGAACATTACCCTGCGCATTCATACAAAACATTTCATAATAATCCATTTTTTTGTGCTTGTTTTTTTAGTGCGACTGCTAAATAAGCCACCATGGGGCCAAAGAAAGTTCCAAGTGCCAGCCCTTTGATAAAGAAGGCGAGAAACACGATAGAATTCAATGGTGATAGAGGGTGGTAGTGATTGTGGTAGAGGGTGGTAGTGATTGTGGTAGAGGGTGGTAGTGATTGTGGTAGAGGGTGGTAGTGGTTGTGGTAGTGGGTGGTAGTGATTGTGGTAGTGGGTGGTAGTGATTGTGGTAGTGGATGGTAGTGATATCACGGTGGTAGAGATAACCTCTCCTCCCTCTCCCCTCCTCACCGTCTTCCATACGCCAACAAGAGTCTTCAGTAAATCTAAAAGTGACTTTAATGTTCATTTATTCATTTCATTAGTGCTTTATATTTTTTTCTAGTTGTTTTCTGTATGTAAAACTATAGTTATTCGCTATAAAATGTATTTTTTGTTAATATTTTTGGGTGTCTGGAATGGATTAATTGCTTTCACATTATTTCTTATGGGAAATATTGCTTCAGTTTTCGTCAAATTTGGTTTTCGTCAGACTCTCTGGAACAAATTAATCACGAAAACCAAGGTTCTACTGTAGTTACCATTTATATGTGCACTTGCATTGTAATGAGAATGAGGATTCTCTTCACCATGTACATAAAATGTATCAGCAGTGAGGGTTGTCCTCGCCGTGTATTTAGCATCCTAAGCAATATAATACAACTACCATCCGACTTACGACCACTCTACTTACAACCATGTTTTTTATGCCATATTTCTGGAAAATAAACAACTGTTTGTGTTGTACACAGTGTTTATCCTAAACTCTTCAGGTCCCTTGTTCTGTCTAGGTTGGAATATTGCTGCACACTAACACCACCACCTTTCAAGGCAGGTGAAATTGCTGACCTAGAAAATGTACAGAGAACCTTCACGGCACGCATAACAGAGATAAAACACCTCAATTACTGGGAGCGCTTGAAGTTCCTGAACTTGTACTCCCTGGTACGCAGGCGAGAGAGATGCACGATTATATACACCTGGAAAATCCTAGAGGGACTAGTACTGAACTTGCACACGAAAATCACTCGCAACGAAAGCAAGAGACTCTGCAGACGATGCAACATCCCCCCAATGAAAAGCAGGGGTGTCACGTTAAGAGACAATACAATAAGTGTCAGGGGCCCGAGACTGTTCAACTGCCTCCCAGCATACATAAGCGGGATTACCAACAGACCCCTGGCAGTCTTCAAGCTGGCACTGGGCAAATGCCTAAAGTCGGTACCTGACCAGCCGGGCTGTGGCTCGTACGTTGGATTTCATGCAGCCAGCAGTAACAGCCTGGTTGATCAGGCTCTGATCCACCATGAGGCCTGGTCACAGACCGGGCCGCGGGGGCATTGACTCCCGGAACACTCTCCAGGTAAACTTTACGGTATAAAATACAGTACTAACAGCATAAAAAGTAAGTAAAAAATGAAATGACAAAATAAAACAATAATATAAAATCAAAGTTTATTCTCTATAAGGATTACAATGCTGAGTTTACAGAATTTGGTTATTGTGTGGTTTACATGTAGTAAAATAATAATTACAGAGGGGGCCACTAGAACACCTAGCATGGCTAGGCATTTCGGGCAGACTTAGAATAATTCTTAATCATTACAAAAGTGTGATTTTGATATTCAGTAGTCAGATTCGACTTGTGTCCGGTTGGTCGGAACCAAGCTTGGTCATAAGTCGGATAGTACCTGTGTGTCTCCAGTGGTCCCACGGATTTTTGAATCCACGAATACCACTAAATTCCATTTATATACATGTAATTTTGTTTTAGGGTAATATTTATTTTTTGTTTCAGAGTGTGTGTATCTTTATTGTTTTAACCTCATAAATATTTATATACAGTGGACCCCCGCCATTCGGTGGCTGCGACTTTTGTGAAATCCGACTTTCAGCAACTTTTTTTGCCAAAATTTAGCTTTGGGGCTCGTGATTCAGCGACTGTCCGGTACAGGTCCGCCGTTAACGTGCACACAAAGCCAGTCTCCCGCACCATTCACACTGTGTGCCATTGTTTACCAGCGAGTGATCATCACCCCACGGGTTCATATAATACATTTCATAGTCCATTATTTTTTGTGCTTGCAACTGCTAAATAATCCACCATGGGCCCAAAGAAAGCTCCTAGTGCCAGCCTTTTGGTAAAGAAGGAAAGAAACACAATAGAATTCAAGAAAAAACTCGTAGCAAAGTACCAAAGTGGAGGAAGAAGAGAGAGGGAAGAGTGTGCCTTCTGCAGTGATTCAGTGATTCTGCGATATGTACGATACTAAAGTAGTAAGTATCGATAAAGACTATAGTGCCAGCCAGTTATGAAGTGTAGAATTAACAGTGTAGCAATTAAGTGAAGCAATTAAGCAATAGAAAAACAACACGAAAGTAACTTTCCAATGTTGTTTGATGTGTATAGGGCCATTGAACATACGCTACCCTAAACCTCTGCCAGCATCTCCTCCATCAAACTAATTAAACCAACATCTCCTCCAAGGTAAGTGCAAATATTTCTTATTTATAAATTAAAATGTAAATATTTCTTATTTATAAATTACATACAAAGCTTCAGCGTGAATAGTGGTGATGGGTTCTATTGCCACCACCATCACTATGTACAGCTTCTCTCAGTGGCCCTTATGAACCCAACAACAACACCACCACCACAACTTGCTCCTCTCATACATACATATTTTATTCATTCTAGAGTATATATATCATGTTTCTATGTTATTAATATTGCTTATTATGTCCTATTAGATGAATTGCTATAGATAAATAAGCCGTGGAGATATTAGCGTCATATTGAACCATAATAAACTCGTCTTCCTCTCCCCTCCTACCTGTCTTCCATACACCAACAAGAATCAATAAAGGTAAGTGTGATGTTAAATGTTCATTTATCCATTTTATTAGTACTTTATATTTATTTGTCATTGTTTTCTGTATGCAAATCTATATTTAATCTTTAAAAAAATATTTTTTGTTAATACATTCAAGTGTCTGAAACGAATTAATTGGATTTCCATTATTTCTTATGGGGAAAATGGATTCGCCAATCATGAATTTCACCATTTGGCAGGCTCTCTGGAACGGATTAATTACGAAACTCGGGGGGGGGGGTCCACTGTACATGAGAAAAAAGCTTTCCACATGGTAAATTCAGTGAGCATATTTTAAACAAATATTTTCTACCTGTAGACTTGAATATTGAATTCTTGAAATTTACAAATTTTAAGATTTATAAAAAATTAACGCTAGTCGTCTCTCACCGGGGAAAAGGACTCGGTCAGTGTCTTGCCAGGAGAGTGCCGACTTTACATTTCAGATGGCCCTCTCAGTTGTAACACCCCTACCCCTCCTTCAGAGTACAGGCACTGTACTTTCCTCCACCTTGACCCTTCCTTCAGAGTACAGGCACTGTACTTTCCACCACCTTGACCCTGCCTTCAGAGTACAGGCACTGTACTTTCCTCCACCTTGACCCTTCCTTCAGAGTACAGGCATTGTACTTTCCACCACCTTGACCCTTCCTTCAGAGTACAGGCACTGTACTTTCCACCACCAGGACTCCTGACAAACAACCTTCCCATGAATCCCTAAAATTACCTTGCTCGCACTCCATATATCACTATAATTTAAATCTTGGAATTTTATTCAACTTTTTCGTAAGCAGGAAGTTATTTTGTTGCAGTGGATTAGTTTATTTCTGTAAGAACATGTCAGAAGTCGGAGATTTATTTCTACACGACACAATGTTTATACAGTGATGGTAACGTCTGGTTTGACGTGCAGAAAGTCCCTGGTTATGCAGAGCATTTCTGGTGTGCTTAAGCCTAGCTTAAAACTAGTGGCAATAATTATTTGCTTATTTTTATGGGCATTTCAGGTATACAAACAACAAATTTAAGCATTACAAATTGAACAAGCAAGCAGACAACTATTTCTTTAAAGTTGAATTATAAATACAAGTAGTGAGAGTAAGAATTTGTGGTTGAAAGAATCTTTTAGCATATTTAACACATTTGTAACATATTTAACATGTGCATAATTCCCTGCAGTGTCATAAATACTTTTAAAAGTCTTGGCATATCTCTGGCAGAGTAAGGTATCACTTTGGACAGTATGGGACCTACCAGCTGGGGATTAGCACACACAACATCACACACATACAAGTCCTCGTCAAGCCCCTGAATGAATTTCTTCGTGAGTATGGCTTTCACTTCAGCAAATAAGGGTGGTAAAATGCTCGTGATTTTTCATAATACAGTTTTATAGTCAGATAATACTGTATGTTGTATTAAACAAGTGGTATTTCACTTACTTTCTTAATAATTTTGCTTTTCATTTCTCTGAATTTATTTTGTTTCTACTTCCAGTCTGTTTTCTTTTTTATGCCACTTACAGTGGTACCCCGAGTTTCAAACTTTTTTCATTCCAGAAGGCTGTTCGAGTGCCGTTACCAAACGAATTTGTTCCCATAAGGAATAATGTAAATTAGATTAGTCCGTTTCAGACTCCTAAAAATACACTTAAAAAAAGCACTTACAATAATACACTTACATAATTGTTTGAGTTGGGAGCTGTTCGAAACTCGGGGTACCACTGTAGTATTGTGATTATTTTTTTCCTATTTGTATCAGGGATCAAGCTAAGCTGGTAGTGTCTAGTCATTGGTATCATATAATGGTATATTATACTGACAAGTTGGTAAATTCTCCATGGGGAAGTGGAGAAGAATTCTTCCCCCATCAGCTATGCGTGTCGTAAGAGGCGACCAAAATGCCGGGAGCAAGAGGCTAGTAACCCTTTCTCTATACATTACTAAAGTTAAAAAGATTGACAGATAAGACACCTTTACCTTTGATTAGTTTTGAGATTATCTATTCCCAGAGCCCAGCCATAGGCCAGGCTTGTCTGGTGGTTACCTGGTCAACCAGGCAACACCTGCACATTGTTATTGTGCCTGTGCAACTTTTTTCTTTTATCCACGATAATACGGAGGCGGCTGTAATGTTGGAGATAGTGGCAGGAATGAGGAGGTATTGTTAGTGTTCAGTCCCTTAGCTCTGATAAGTGTTTCTTCCCTTTAAATAAGATTTTAATAGTTAATCACTATTATCTTGTCTAGTTTTAAGTAGTTATTATGTACTAGGATTAGTCTGCCCGAAAGGCCCCGGCATGATAGTGACTTTCTTTGTACTTAGCAAACCAAAATTATAATCACACACGATAACCTTTACAAAGAATAAAATCATTATCTTTACCTTATATCAAGGTTTAGGAGCTGAACACCTATCACGGTTAAAGGACCAAACACTTTGTCAAGGCTAGGGTACCAAACACTTTCTGTCAAGGCTAAGGTACCAAACACCTGTCAAGGCTAAGGTACCAAACACCTGTCAAGGCTAAGGTACCAAACACCTGTCAAGGCTAAGGTACCAAACACCTGTCAAGGCTAAGGTACCAAACACCTGTCAAGGCTAAGGTACCAAACACCTGTCAAGGCTAAGCAGCTGAACATCTTAAAATAACCTCTCCACTTTTCCATAATTCTTCAGCAAGTAAGCCTGGCTTAGGGTCAAGCTGAAAGGGTATAAAAAATGCTCCAAATTTGTGGCAGGTGCTGTGTGTTCCATTCACAAGTGCAGGACCCAGTGGCTAGGCTCCAACACTTAAACAAGGTCATTAAATTATTAAAATTATTATTAAATTATTAAAAAGTATTTTTTACAGCTAAAATGCCGGGAGCAAGGGGCTAGAAACCCGTTTTCCTGTATAAATTACCAAATTTAAAAAGAAAAGCTTTATATAAGCATTTCTTCTTTTTAGGTCACCCTGCCTCGGGATACAGCCAGTGTGTTAAAAAAATGTAACTAATTTTCTCATATAGAACGTAGTATATTGAAAATACTAAGCACATTTTCTAAGTTCTCCATGGGAAGTGGGTTAGAATCCTTCCTCCATAAGCCATGCGTGTCAAAAGAGGTAACTTAAATGCCGAAAGCAAGAAGCTGGCATTTAAAAAAAAAAAAAAAAAAAAAAAAAGTCTGGGTACTCCTTACACAACTTTGGACCAGCAAATACAGTGTAACCTCGGTATACGACCAGCTCCCTACTCGAACAAAGCTCAGCACTCGATCAAACAAGTACCACCTGCCAGATCTTCGCTGTAAACTATTTTGTGTTTCTTCACTTTTTTTTTTTTGTATTGTATTGTATAAATGTCACCATGGGGCCTATGAAGATTAGTGATAACAGCCAGCCAAACAGAAAATTGGTTGGGAAGAACTTGTTTGATACTTAAAAGGAGCAGCACTCGAACAGCCTTCTGGAATGAATTAAGGTTGCCTACCAAGGTTCCACTGTATTACAAATATTGCTGGAATTAGCATAGTTTTCTTGAGTAGACTTATCTTCTTCCTTAAAGTGCTACATTAATTGTGATGTGATGGCTGTGCAGCTTTACGGCCATTAACAGTAACAGTCTGGGTATCAGTCGGTCGATAAAGCAGCCCGACTTCAGGCTGAGCAGCAAGGGGTTAGGGAAACTGGCAGTAAGTCAGTAGGCCATAGTGCATAAGCCAAGTGTCTTATGCACTGGCCCTGAATTTTATAGCTCACCGTGGTTTCAAACCCCACCTGTTCCGTGGTTTTGTCCCACAGGTGTGAGTAATATATGGGTGTATATACAGGAAGGCCCTGCATTTACAGCACTGTCTTTTTAGTGTTCCACATTTTCATTGGCTTCAAATTGAGGCATTGCATTGTTCCACCCACTGGTAAAAATCGCCAGCATGTGGAACATAGTGAACATAGGCTAAATTTGAAGCCAGCAAAAATGTGCAACTCCAAAAAGGTGATGTATATGCAAAGCCTTCCTGTCTTGAGATGGTGTGTGTGTGTATGTGTGTAACTCTCAGAACCTCTATTTCCAGCTCTGTTTGTTGCTTTCATATTCTTCTTCATGTTGGCATTCGTATGGCAGTGCACGAAGTTCTTCCGTCAACGCATGGATGCTTCATATTCTCCTCACAGAGTCGTAAGAAATCTAACATTTTAATTTTTTTAGCTGGAAGCAAATGCTTTCCTTGATTTGCATAATAGGCAAATTTCCCCAAAATATTTACATTTTTATATAAATTTTATGGTAAACTTTTAATATCCCAGATCTAAATAAATGAAGTTACCCATACCCGTTGTGTACTTAAAAATGATATATTGTAATGATCTCGGCAATACAGTGTGTGGTACCCATTGTAGGGAGGTCATAATGTTAACACTAGGGAAAGGGAGATGGGAAGGGAATGAAGTGCATGAGGGAACATGAGAAATAAGTAGATAAGTGAAAGAGCACTATAGTAAGGAGAACATAAAAAGAATAAGGAAATGGTAATTATGGATTAGTAGAGAGCATGAATATAGTTTAACCCTTAAATGGTCCAAACATGTATATACGTTCTCTCACGTAGTGCTCCAAACGTATATATGTATGTTTTAGTTTTCATTCCTTCAAAATTAGTGCGATAGGCCTGAGTCGCCTAGACACGAGAGAATGGGTGTGCGTACTTGGTGTGTGTGGTATACAAAAAATCTGGGACGCCTGGGTACCACATGGTAGGACCAGTTACATTCGGCTCCATTTTGGGTCAACATCATGGCATATCCTCGTGATTCACTCACGCCTCGTTGTATTAACACTCTACTATTCGAGGAAAGTGATATAGATCATGAGGTTAGTGGATTTGACACCAATGGGGCAAGTAATACTCAAGGAATTAATGAAAATGTCTACGAAAACCCAGATGACCCTCAGCCCATCACCTCTGGGGTAGCCAGTGTGGCCACAGCTGATCCTATGCCAAGCACTTCTAGGGAGGCCAGTGTGGCCACACAAGACCCTGGGCCAAGCACCTCTGGAGTGGCGAGTGTTACCCATAAGCAACTTCGCAAGAGGAACCTATCATTTTCCTAGTGTTTTAGTGATAAAGTGATGTAAGTGATGATGAGATTGATTTTATGCCATTAGAGGATTCGTCTAGCGATAGTGAAGTTCATTATTCACCAGTGAAGCATACTTCTAGGTTTTGTTATCTACGTTCAGGCAGTGTGCCATATGCAATCCCCAAGGGTTGTGGCAGGTCACGATCCAAAATCCCGGCCACTGATAGTGAAAGTGATCATAAAGGCGAGTATGCGGGGATGGAGGAAGTAGTGGTGAGTGGCACAGTGCCTGGACCACATGGCGCAGTGGGTGGACAGACAAAGGACAGCCCGGCATCCCCTCAACCATGTGCTGCCTCCACTCCTGTCCCTCCTCCTCCTCCCCCCCCCCTTTCCCCATGCCACAGGTCCACTCTGCACCATGTGATTGTGAGTGGAACTGGACACAAAGTACAGTGGACCCTTGAGTTTCGGCAGCCTCGACTTTCGTGAAATTCGACCTTCGGCGAGATTTTTTGGCAAAATTTGGTCTTGAGTTTTGTGATTAGACTCATGTTTCGGCGACCGTCCGGTACCCGTCCGTCCGTCACCGCGCACACCAAGCCAGTCTCCCACGCCATTCATGCTCAGTGTGCCATTGTTTACCAACATGTGACCATCACCCCGTGGGTTCATACATTTCATAATAATCCATTGTTTTTTGTGCTTGCAACTGCTAAATAAGTCATCATGGACCCAAGGAAAGCTAGTGCAAGCCCTTTGGTAAATGAAGTGAGGAATACGATCCAGAGGGATTTTGAAGGGTTTGAGGCAGACCCTGTCCCTGCTGACCCTCTGCCTGTTGTGGAAGGTGTTGTGGCATTGGGCAAGTCCATGGGGTTGGAGGTGAGTGACAGAGATGTGGAAGAGTTGGTGGAGGACCACAGGGAAGAGCTAACCACTGACGAACTGCAAGAGCTTCAACTGGAACAGCATCAGGCCACAGCCGAGGAACTTGCTTCAGAGGAGGAGGAAAAAGAGAGTGAAGGAGGTTCCTTCTTCAGTGATTAAGGACATATGTGGAATGTGGAATGAGTTGCAAAGTTTTGTTGAAAAGTATCACCCTGACCAAGCTGAAACAAGCCATATCTGCAACATGTACAATGACAGTGTTGTGTCCCACTTCAGGGAAATCTTAAAGAAACGCCAGAAAAAGACCTCTCTGGACAGATATTTTGTGCGCCAGGGGTCCAGTGAGTCTCAAGTTGTTCCCAGTGGCATTAAAAGAAGTAACCCCAGATAAGGACTTGCTACCTAAAGTCCTAATGGAAGGAGATTCTCCTTCCAAACAATAGTGTACACCTTCCTCCTATCCCCTCCTCCCGTCTTCCATCCACCCAGAAGTCTTCAGTAAAGGTAAGTGTAATGTTATTATTATTTTTTATATGCATGTACTTGATTTCTCATTGATTTCAGTATATAAATCTTTATTTAATTTGAAAAAAAAAAATTTATTTTAATATTTTTGGGTGTCTGGAACGGATTAATTTTATTTCCATTATTTCTTATGGGGAAAATGGTTTAGAGTTTCGTGAATTTTGACTTTCGGCAGGCTCTCTGGAACGGATTAATCACGAAACTCAGGGGGTCCACTGTATATTTGTGCCACAGCCTTGTGATTCTGATGCGAGTGGAAGTGGTATCCAGCCAGAATGTCCCATAACGAATGAGTCTACAGAGTTAGAAGATTTCCAGTTGTATTTTGATGAGCCTATAATGAACTTGATAGTGACCCAGACAAACAATTATTACCGATATGTCATGGACAACATAAGAGGTTGGAGAATCGTCATGGCTGCACAGGTGGAAAGATACAACAGTGGCTGAAATGTATTTAATCTTTGCCACTGTCATGCTTATGCCACATATCTATAAGAACAATATAGGTAATCACTGATCCACAGACCACTTCATCAGTACTCCAGTTTTCCGTGACCTCCTTCCCTGCAACAGATTCACTCTGTTGCTACGAATGTTGCACTTCTCAGACAGAAATACGCCAAACAGAAATAACCTTCTATACAAAATCCAGGAAGTGTTTGTGTATTTGAAGCAGAAATTCAGTGCATACTTTTATCCCTTCAAGAACATTGTTGTTGAGTCCTTGATTCTGTTTAAGGGACGCTTGTCATTCGAGCAATATATACCGAGCAAACGTAATCGCTTTGGTATAAAACTTTTTGTGTGTGACTGTGAGAGTGGTCTTGTGTTGGATTTTATTGTATACACCGGGAGAAACACACTCAATGATGACAGATGGATGTTGGGCATTTCCGGTGATGTTGTTCGCAGGATGATGAAACCATACCTTGGCAAGGGCCACACATTGTACACAGACAACTGGCATACAAGCCCTATGCTCGCTGATTTCCTACGTGTGAACAATACTGATATATGTGGAACAGTGAGAGGAAATAGAAAACATATGCCAAGGTTCAGTGGAGGCAGTGTTGAAGGTGCAGTGCAAGTGTTTCATGCTAATGACATCATGGCACTGATGTGGCATAACAAACGGGACGTGACATTGCTATCAACCATCCATAGAAACGAGCTGGTACAGACACAGACTGAGCAAGTTCAACAAAGAACCTATTGTAAAGCCAGCTGTTGTCATGGACTATACGAACAATATGTGATAGTTGACGTGTGACATGATGATAAGAATTGTTAACTGCGTGTGTAGGAGTTGCAAGTGGTATATAAAACTGTTTTTTCACCTTGTAGACATTGCAGTGCTCAATACATTCAATATGTACGAAATAAAGACTGGAAAACGAAAACGTTTTTGCAGAATTCTCTCTGAATGTTGTCAAACAGATAGCAAGAAAGTATGGTACCACACCTGTACCTGCCCCTCGACAGCAACCTGTCCCCCAACCACAGCCAGAGGGGGAAGTGCCAGACTGAATCACTCCTAACTGTCACTCTCTGGTACCAATACCACCTACCCAAAAGAAGAATGCCCAGAAAGTGTGTTGTGTATGCTACCACCAAAAACGACCCCTATCACGAGCCTTTTCCATCCTATGGAGAGGGAGCATGGACACGGGGGTCGTCCCTCAGTTACTAAAAACAACAGACATAGCCCCACTCCACAAAGGGGGCAGTAAAGCAATAGCAAAGAACTACAGACCAATAGCACTAACATCCCATATCATAAAAATCTTTGAAAGGGTCCTAAGAAGCAAGATCACCACCCATCTAGAAACCCATCAGTTACACAACCCAGGGCAACATGGGTTTAGAACAGGTCGCTCCTGTCTGTCTCAACTATTGGATCACTACGACAAGGTCCTAAATGCACTAGAAGACAAAAAGAATGCAGATGTAATATATACAGACTTTGCAAAAGCCTTCGACAAGTGTGACCATGGCGTAATAGCGCACAAAATGCGTGCTAAAGGAATAACAGGAAAAGTCGGTCGATGGATCTATAATTTCCTCACTAACAGAACACAGAGAGTAGTCGTCAACAGAGTAAAGTCCGAGGCAGCTACGGTGAAAAGCTCTGTTCCACAAGGCACAGTACTAGCTCCCATCTTGTTCCTCATCCTCATATCCGACATAGACAAGGATGTCAGCCACAGCACCGTGTCTTCCTTTGCATGACAGTGTCTTCCATTGCAGACACTGCAAGGCTCCAGGCGGACATCAACCAAATCTTTCAGTGGGCTGCGGAAAACAATATGAAGTTCAACGATGAGAAATTTCAATTACTAAGATATGGTAAACATGAGGAAATTAAATCTTCATCAGAGTACAAAACAAATTCTGGCCACAAAATAGAGCGAAACACCAACGTCAAAGATCTGGGAGTCATTATGTCGGAGGATCTCACCTTCAAGGACCATAACATTGTATCAATCGCATCTGCTAGAAAAATGACAGGATGGATAATGAGAACCTTCAAAACTAGGGAGGCCAAGCCCATGATGACACTCTTCAGGTCACTTGTTCTATCTAGGCTGGAATATTGCTGCACTCTAACAGCACCTTTCAAGGCAGGTGAAATTGCCGACCTAGAAAATGTACAGAGAACTTTCACGGCGCGCATAACGGAGATAAAACACCTCAATTACTGGGAGCGCTTGAGGTTTCTAAACCTGTATTCCCTGGAACACAGGAGGGAGAGATACATGATTATATACACCTGGAAAATCCTAGAGGGACTAGTACTGAACTTGCACACGAAAATCACTCACTACGAAAGCAAAAGACTTGGCAGACGATGCACCATCCCCCCAATGAAAAGCAGGGGTGTCACTAGCACGTTAAGAGACCATACAATAAGTGTCAGGGGCCCGAGACTGTTCAACTGCCTCCCAGCACACATAAGGGGGATTACCAACAGACCCCTGGCAGTCTTCAAGCTGGCACTGGACAAGCACCTAAAGTCAGTTCCTGATCAGCCGGGCTGTGGCTCGTACGTTGGTTTGCGTGCAGCCAGCAGCAACAGCCTGGTTGATCAGGGGCTGATCCACCAGGAGGCCTGGTCACAGACCGGGCCGCGGGGGCGTTGACCCCCAAAACTCTCTCCAGGTAAACTCCAGGTAAACACAAGATTCATTTGTCACCAGTGTGGGGTGGCGCTCGGTATGAATCCATGCTTCGTGAAGTATCATGTAGTCGTGGAGTTCTAGGACATGTAAATACTTGTATATAATTGTAGATAATAGAATGTGATTCAGCCAGGTGTGCAAAATCACCTGTGTGTGTACACATGTGTTTATGACAATATGATAATTTTGTATATAATATTGGTGTATAAACAACAGTTGGCATTGAAATCAAAAGATTTGCCATAAAACATAATTATCATATCATGAAAACCAAGAAAATTAAGAAAAAAAAATGGAAGAAAACGGCAAATATGTAGAATTTCTGCAAGCGGCAGCGCTCCATGTTGCCGTTGGGTGACCGCCAAGTGCCAACTTTGCGGCCTCATATATCTGTAGGTACTGACCCTAAATTTTTTTTTATTCTAAAATACTTAATTTTTTTTTTTTTTTTTTCTCCAAAATATTCGGGCTGCTGCGCAAGTGAACGTATATATACGTTTGGACCGTTTAAGGGTTAATTGATAAGGTAGTAGTCTGTAAAAGTTGCATGTTAAAGTGGTTTATATTGATACTAGTCTAGCCACATAAAATAGAGAATGAGGAATGGTTTTAGAGTAAATATTTAACACCATAGCACTTCATTGTAAGTGGGACAAATATTGCAGAGATCAGCGCCAGTTGATGAAAGCTCGTCGTTGTTATCCCAAGCATTATCTCGGGAAAGTGCTTCATCATCTGGAACACAACAGTCTTCTCCTCCAGCACCTCTACCAGTGACATCCCAGCTGCAGCTAGTAGATATTCCTGACTCTAGGGGGACAGGAGGACGTCTTCTCTCTTTGGACACTTTCAGGGGGTAAGTTTAGAATGTGAAGCTTATTTTTGTTTTTTGATATATGGGTGCTTCTTGACTTATGGTGGTTCGGCTTACAATATTTTGACTTGACGATGGTGCAAGAGCAGTTACTTTAGAGATAAAACTTAAGATAATTACCCAGCATGAAAATGGCAAGTCTGTAACTTGTATTCATTTATTTACTTTTTAATAATGGTATTTAGTTAGTTGCAGTAATTATTTGTTTATGAATTATTCAGTGACAGTATTTATTTATGTATTTATCATATATTCATATTTGACTTAGAATATTTTCGACTTAGTGTCTCATAGCTCGATTGCTAGTACACTCAGCTCGCACATCGAGTTCCGTGGTTCGATCTCTGGGATGGGTGGCAACATTAGGACGTGTTTCCTTGAGACACCTGCTGTCCATGTTCACCTAGCAGTAAAATGGATACCCAAGTGTTAGTGGACTGGTGTGGGTTGCATCCTGGGGACAAAATTTACCTAATTTGTGGGAAATGCTCTGCATAACAAGCGTCTTTCTATATAGTAGCGTGTCATTGATGTCAACTATGGTCTATATACCTTGTACATGTACTTGTAGTAAATAAAGATTATTATAGGGTTGTCAGAATGTAAGCCCATAGTAAGTTAAAGAGCACCTGTACAAAATAATGTTAAAAAGTATTGCTTCCAGGTAACAGGCTGGTTGATCAGACCCTGATCCACCACAAGACCTGGTCTCAGACAGAGTCGCTGGGGTGTTGACCCCCGAAGCCCTCTCCAGGTATACTCCAGGTATTCCATCTTGAAGATTAGGAGGGAGGAAATGGAAAGTTTCATTGTTGGAAAAGTTCTTGTTTACCCTTTGTCCCACTTCTGCCCAGTGCAGTTGAAGTCGCATTATTTAATTGATCAATTAATGCATCCACAGAGCAAAGTGATTTTAAGGAAATAATACCACTACTAGCTGGAGATCCATCCTGCAATATTTAACCAGCCTGCCAATGTACTCGCTGGGTCTCTGGTATTTGTAGTGTGGTGACCTAGTGGATAAAGGCATATAAAGATTTACCTAGCTCTCCAGGTGGCTGATTAAATATTGCAGGCTGGATCCTCAGCTAGTCGCAGTATTGTTATTTAATAGATCAATATGTGCTACAGGTCCACATCCCTTTATCCAAAATTCTGAAATTTGAAAAGTTCCAAAAACCAAAGTTTTTTCAAGAAGTGTGGAGCATCAGTCATCTCCGTGCTGGGTCACGCCGCCACGTGGCGGCATAGTGTCATTCAGAAATTCAAAAAAGTATGAAATTCAAAACAATACAGGCCCCAAGGGTTTTGGATAAAGGGATGTGCACCTGTACTGCTATAAGTTTAGCTGGCCTAGCTTCTGGGGTCATGAAGTAGTATATCCATGGAAACTATTCATAGATACGTGTTTGACAGAAATTCATAAGACTTGAAAATTATATATACAAATACTTGGGATTTTGCCCACTATTTTTCTATTCCTTAGTTTTTTTTTATTTACACAACTTTCTTATAAATGTTTTTCTTGCACAGCCTCGCCATAATCATCATGGTGTTTGTCAACTACGGAGGGGGCCAGTATTACTTCTTCCAGCACGCTCGTTGGAACGGCCTCACTGTTGCTGACTTGGTCTTTCCCTGGTAAAGATGAATTTTGCTTGTACTCGCCTAATTGTGGTTGCAGGGGCCGAGACTCGGCTCCTGGCCCCACCCAGTGTTAAGGTTCTCTTACGTCTGGAGTACTATTGCAGACACTTGTGCTGTAAAAAAGTGGATGCTACATTAAATATCTAACTTTCTTCTTTTCCTGCACTGTTTTGGTTTCAGCTTATTATACAGGTAAATCACAGTACTTGCCAGGATAGTGAAAAATTACAGCACAATCTGAATTCAGAATTCAATACACTGGGTACTAATACTCGATTAAATTTGAAGAAGTGATGCTGCTACATTTTGGTGATAGTTGTCATAGATAGGCATAATAGATAATTAGATAAATGCCCTGCAAACTGTTGGGGTTCAGTCATAAGCAATTTTTTACATACCATCCGTGAATACAGTGGACCCTCGCCTAACGCTATTAATCCGTTCCTGAGAGCTCAACGTTAGACGAAATTATCGTTAGGCGAATTAATTTTCCCCATAAGAAATAATGGAAATCAAATTAATCTGTGCAAGACACCCAAAAGTATGAAAAAACAAAAAATTTTACCACATGAAATATTAATTTTAATACACACAAACTGAAGAAGAGATGTACAATACATGACACTTACCTTTATTGAAGATCTGGTGATGATTGATGGGATGGGAGGAGGAGAGACTGTGGATGGTCTTATTGTTTAGAAGGGGAATCCCCTTCCATTAGGACTTGAGGTGTCAAGTCCTTTTCCGGGTTACTTCCCTTCTTCTTTTAATGCCACTAGGACCAGCTTCAGAGTCACTGGACCTCTGTTGCACAACATATTTGTCCATAGAGGCCTGTGCCTCTCGTTCCTTTATGACTTTCCTAAAGTGTTTCACAACATTGTCAGTGTAATAGTCATCAGCACGGCTTGCAATAGCTGTGTGAGGGTGATTTTCATCAAAAAAGGTTTGCACTTTAAGCCACATTGCACACATTTCCTTAATCTTTGAAGTAGGCAACTTCTTCAATTTCTCTCTCCCCTCCTCCGAAGCAGTTTCCTCAGGTCTGGCCTCTTGCTGTTGAAGATGATCTAGCAGCTCATCAGTGGTTAGTTCTTCATTATCCTCCTCAACCAACTCTTCCACATCCTCCCCACTAACCTCACCAATATGAGCACTAGTTCCAGGCATTTTTTCCTGTTCACCTGGGTGTTAGTCAACTGTTGTGGGTCGCATCCTGGGGGACAAGATTAAGGACCCCAATGGAAATAAGTTAGACAGTCCTCGATGATGCACTGACTTTCTTGGGTTATCCTGGGTGGCTAACCCTCTGGGGTTAATAGTTTCTCGGTAATTATTTCATGTTAAGCCATACCAACAACACACACTCCACATCTTCGAGCAATACAGCTGATGGTGGTGCAGCAACAGCAACAGCTGACTGTGGTGCAGCAACAGCTGACTGTGGTGCAGCAACAGCTGACTGTGGTGCAGCAACAGCTGACCATGGTGCAGCAGCAGCTGACTGTAGTACAGCAATAGCTGACCGAGGTGCAGCAGCAGCAGCAGCTGACTGTGGTGCAGAAGCAGCTGACTGGTCCAGCAACAGCTGACGGTGGTGCAGCAGCAGCTGACTGTGGTACGATAGTATTTCTCGCCCTTTTTACCACAGGGTTGGCACTAGAAGCTTTCTTGGGGCCCAGGGTCACTTATTTTGCAGGTGAAATCACTAAAAACGCTGTGATATGAAATGTTCCGATTGTATGCTTGGATGTGACCGCGGAGGTTTGCTTGTAAACACTGCCACCCACGGAACAAGCGAGGCTGGCTCAAGCCGCACGTGGACACGTCTCGGACGAATCGTGTTGAGCGAGTTTTTTAGTGCTAGGCGAGGCAAAATTTTTGCGTTAAAATGTATCGCTAGGCGGATTTAACGTTACGCGATGCCATCATTAGGCGAGGGTCCACTGTACTTCCAATAATGGTTTTGTTATTCTTACTCATGCTAATAATTGTATATTGCCTGGGTAAGGCCAACAAAGCATTTAAATTACTGGGAAAATCTTGGTCTTAAATATGTACTTGCTGGAGTGTAGGAGAGATATATATTATGTACCTTGAAAATATTTGAGGGTCTAGTTGAAAATCTTCACACTGTCGTAACATACTGGAGTGAGAGACATGGAAGTTGAGCATAAACCTAGTGAAAAGCAGGGGTGCTGTGGGCACAATAAGGGAACACTGTATCAACATCTGTGGCCCCAAACTATTCAACATCTTATCAGAAAATGTCCAAAACACTGCTGGGACAAATGTAGAAGTATCTTCACCAGGTGCCAGATCAACCACACTGTGATGGATATGTGGGTCAGTGGGCCACCAGCAGCAACAGCCTGGTTAACCAGGCTGGAATCAGACGAGCCTGCCCATGCTTTTGGAGTAGATCTTGTGGGGGTACTTTTGGGCAAGACCATTAGTTGCTAGGAAGCCTCGCTGTTATGGATCATACAAAATACAGTACAGCCTCCCCTCATTTAGCAATGTACTGATTTACAGATGACTCGGACTTACAATGAGCTCTCTAACTAGTATGCATACCTAAATACAGTAATGTATATTAGAGCTGATTTCTTCTATTTTGTTTATTGCAATATACAGTACAATACTGTATAAACATTTTAAAGTAGTATATACTAAAAATTTTATAAATGGTGCAAAGGTGACATTAAAACAATATCGAAGATGGTTGACACAAACCCACTACAGGTTGGCTGTCACTAATCCGGCAGTCGGTTATCCGGTTCCATCAATAATCCGGCACTAATATCGGCCAGCATAATTTCAAATTTCATCATTACACTCACTCAGAAATTGTGCAGATGGTTGTAAATCCACAGCAGCAAGCCAGTGGAGGAGAAAGCAGTGATGAAAATAAGGAAGATGTAGCAGAGTCTTATAGATAGGTTAATTAAGTGTATTCTAACCTAACCACTCTAATCCGGCAAACTCGCTAATCCGGCTCGCTACAGGTCCCAGTGATGCTGGATTAGTGATGGTCAACCTGTACCATTATAGTATGCTCCTTGCTTAACAATGAATTCGTTTACTGACGTGGTCTTAAGAACGGAACTCTGTCGTAAAGTGAGGAGAGGCTGTAATGCTGCTGTATCCGCAGGAGATACACTCCTAAACCTGCAGTGGCATCTGAAACTGTGGATAGCAGCAAACCCAATATGCAAGTCATTTTTCATTTATTTACATCTTTCAACAAACCGGCCATATCCTGTATAAATTACTAAATTTACATACATTATTATTATTATTATTATTATTATTATTATTAACACACTGGCTGATTCCCACCAAGGCAGGGTGGCCTGAAAAAGAAAAACTTTCACCATCATTCGTTCCATCACTGTCTTGCCAGAAGGGTGCTTTACACGACAGTCTTTAAACTGCAACATTAACACCCCTCCTTCAGGTAGTCCTGCCAGATGACTGTGGAACAGAAACCTGTAACTGTTTTACATGATGGTAGGATTGCTGGTGTCTTTTTCTGTCTCATAAACACGCTAGATAACAGGGATATCTTGCTACTCCTACTTACATTTGGTCACACTTCACAGACACGCACATGCATATATATATACATACATCTAGGTTTTTCTCCTTTTTCTAAATAGCTCTTGTTCTTGTTTATTTCTTCTATTGTCCATGGGGAAGTGGAAAAGGATCTTTCCTCCGTAAGCCATGCGTGTCGTATGAGGCGACTAAAATGCCGGGAGCAATGGGCTAGTAACCCCTTCTCTTGTAAACATTTACTAAAAAAGAGAAGAAGAAAAACTTTATAATTTACATACATACCTACATTTTTTATATAGCTGGACTTGAGTCCTGGAAATGGGAAGTACAATGCCTGCACTTTAACCCTTTGAGGGTTTTGGTCGTACTAGTACGTCTTACGCGTAGGGGTTTTTGACGTACTAGTACGCATAAATTCTAGCGGCCTCAAATCTCGCAGGAAAAGGCTGATAAGCCTAGATGTGAGAGAATGGGTCTGTGTGGTGGGTGTGCGCAGTAGGAAAAAAATCTGGGACCCAGTGGTGCATTGTGGGAATGCCATCATAGTACACAATTTCCACAGTGCCCTGCGGTAAGAAGTTCCTCACTCCTCGGCGAATTGGGACACTTTTGTTCCCCAGTGACAGTTCTAATACAGATGGAAGTGACAGTGAAGATGAGTTTCAAGGTTCTGGTGAGGTTTTGACCGAAACTAATGACCATAATATGGGTAATATGAGGAAAACCCAGACAACCCACAGCCTTCCACCTCTGGTGCTGGGCCGTCCGTTCATTTGGGTACCAGAATCAAAGAGGAAAACCCTATTTCCCAAAATCCCAGACTCAGATGTGAGCATTGATGATAATGATAGTGATTATGAACTACAAGCTCTTCAAACTTGTTCCCAAAGGGAATGGAGGAGGAGGAGGAGGAGGAGGCAGAAGGAGGGAGGGGGCAAGGGGAGGAGGAGGCAAAGAGGAGGAGGAGGGGGCCCAGAGGAGGAGGAGGAGGAGGAAGAAGAAGAAGGGGAGGAGGAGGAGGAAGAAGAGGAGGAGGAGGAGGAGGAAGAGGAGGGGGAGGAGGAGGAAGAAGAAGAATGGGTAATGTTAACAATAATACATAATAATAATACATAATAATAATAATACATAATTATAATACATAATAATAATAATACATAATATAATAATAATAGGTAATAATAATAATAATGTAATAATAAATGTTTACCCATGACAGTAACAAAATAAGGGGAGATAACATCTGATAAGTGCTGACGTTTGATAAGGGTAATGAGGGTAGAGCTGATGCCAAAAGATGAGATGAACATCGCCCTCCCTTTGTTTTTGCTGGTATACTAACATTTCTGTCTGTCTATTTGCCTGTCTGTCAAGCTCCCTGTCTATCCATCTAGCTCTCTGTCTCAGAGAGCCACAAGACTGGGGTCATCACT